CTGGAAAATTCCAAAATGTTCTGGACTAGCCTGCCCCCATCCCCTCCAATTCCTCAAAGAATCTCTGCTACCCTGCCCCTCCATCCCCTCCAATTCCTCAAAGAATCTCTGCTAACCTGCCCCCGTCCATCCCCTCCAATTCCTCAAAGAATCTCTGCTAGGCTGCCTCCTCCATCCCCTCCAATTCCTCAAAGAATCTCTGCTAACCTGCCCCCGTCCATCCCCTCCAATTCCTCAAAGAATCTCTGCTAGGCTGCCTCCTCCATCCCCTCCAATTCCTCAAAGAATCTCTGCTAGCCTGCTCCCGTCCATCCCCTCCAATTCCTCAAAGAGTCTCTGCTAGCCTGCCAGTCCCTTAATATTTTTTATCCAAAACATAGTTAATCAACGACCTTTTCCACCTCCTCAGCCGCTCCGTTCGGGTTTCCAAGCAGCCGGCAAAAGCCGCAAAAGCCACATACACCCACAAATTTGAGCAAACAAAACCGGGTGTGGTGGATATTTGCCGATTTTCTCCATTTCTTCTTTTTTGTCGGGGTCTCTACAGCCTCTAATTTCGAGTGGCAGGGCCGGGTTTGAGTGCGAGGCTCGCAAATTGACCCCCCCCCCCCTCTTAAACTACATAATCCTTGGGGAGTGGTCAAATTTTGGTCATTAAAGTGACTGGGAAACCCCGAGAATCGACCCCGCCCTCAACTAGGTCTAGACAGCTACGCCACACTACAGATCACTCCTTTAAACGGGCTTTCGACCAACCTTTCCCTAGTAACGTTGCGAAGTTATCTCGCCCGTCCTCTTAAAGGGAATGAGAAACGCCGAGATAGGCTCCGAAAAGCTCCAAATCACCCCTAAACCGCTACGAACTTACCCTTACTAGACAGCTACGCGGCACTCCAAGTGACGCCTACAAATCGTCATGTTGATAGCCCTTGAATTCTGCACGATTACAAAGCCATAGCGCTATGCGTCATTTGGAGCTTCTCGTTGCTGTCGAGACCTAGTCTATGGGAGGGTCGATTTTCGCGTCCTAGCCCCTTCAAAGGCGCTTGATGGCCCTAACGTCCCTAACATCCAAGTGTCTCTGCTAGCTTGTCATTGAAAAATACGCATCGTCGTTGGTTGATTTTGGACAAGGTTTTCCGCAAATGATCTCTGCTAGCACCCCCTTTCCAAGCCTTCCGGAAACGGATTGGTATAAAGAATCTCTGCTAGCCTGCCTTGGCCACTGACTCCAGTTCATCACGATCATCCGCTCGCTCTAGATTCCGCAAAGCACACTGCTAGTATGCCTTTCTCAAGACCTTCGCTAGCCTTGCTTTAGAGATTTCCACAATAATCTCTGCTAACCTGCCTACACGTGTTTCGATTTCCCCAAGGATCCCTGCTAGCTTGCTGCGCAAAACGAGCTAAAGAAAGTCTGTTCGTTTGCCGCTGCGCGGTTTGAAAATTCGCGTTTTTGCCCGGAACTCCTTTCCCCAATGATCTCTGCTAAGTTGCGGCCTTAATGATAAAATCAAAGGTTTCCACAAAGTTGTCTGCTGGTTTGCCCAAATGACCCAGAAAAAGTGATAAATAAAGGATTCCTAAAATTCCAAAAAACCCAAGCACCCACTCGGCACCTAGTAACTACGAAATATATCAGCACACGTGGGTCGTGCGTGTGCCTTGAAAAATTCATAGCACTCCAGCAGGGCTACTCTGGAGGTGTACGGTAGCTGGCGCATGTTTTAGTGTACTCTGCCCAGAGAAGCAGCCCAAAATATGGCGTGCCGACCCGAATCCCGCATTCCGGGGCCCGCCGTTTGTAGGATCGTGACGGAACGGGAATTTTTGAGCAATTTTTGGGGGGCGGCGCCAAAAAAGGGAGGGACGGGAATTGCGAAGATCCCCCCTCCTGGACCATTCGTGCCAATTTCGCGTTTAGTATTTGGCGGAATTCCAGGAAATTCCGGTTTTTTGGGGTATTGTAGCCAAACGCGTGTTTTTAAGAAATTTTCAAATTCCCTCTGCTAGCATGCCCATCGACAACGGTTCTTTGGCATTATCGGGGGGGGGGGGGGGGGGGGAACCAACCTTTTCCTTAGTATCCAATTTCGTCAATATGAATGGATGAAGGGTATTTAAATTGTTTTTAAATATTCCAAAGCGTAAAAACTTTACAAAAATTGCATTCAAAATTCCAAAGAATTGTCGATTTCGGCAAGAATATCGAATTTAAATTTTGAAAATTTGTCGATTATGTTCTGGTCTGGACGATTATTAAACGCTCTCCGAAATGAACACTGCTAGCTTACCCTCCTGGTGCGATTTCCTAAGTGATCGCCGCTAGCTGGCCAGTATCGGACCAAACACCTCTGCTGGATTGCCTAGATAGAGCTTGATCATAAAGAATTGATGCTAGCTGGCCTCTACAGAAATGAATTCCTCAATAAACCCTGATAGTTGATCTGTTTCGAAATTCCCAAAGAATCCCTGCTAGCCTCTCCAATCCGAATTTCGCACCGGAGCTCCCCAATGATTTCTGCTAGATTGCCTCAACCCCCAATAGTCGTTGCTTGTTGACCTTCCGGCTGCCAGATCCTAAATGATTTCTGCTAGCTTGGGCGCGTCGGCGCTATTGCCTAAATGGTCTCTGCCAGCTGCGCTTAGAAATTGCCTCTGCCTGGTTGCCTGGATAAAGCCAAACTCCTAAATTATCCCTGCTAGCTTGCCCATCAATGGAAGTTTAACATTTTTGGCCTTTAATCTCCAAAAACCTCCGCCAGCTGTTGACCGTGTTTTTATGCGATAGGTTTTGCTCCCAAATGATCTCTGCTAGCTTGCCCGGCCTCCAATGAAGCTTCCTAACTTCTAAAATGTTTGTTTGGACCAGGAACTGCAACCAGAAATCCTTGCCGAGACACCCGAAAACTTGGAAAGGTCACAAGGTAACCAAGAAAAAGCGCCGACCGGGGGGCGAAAGCCGAAAAGCCGCGAAAAACGGCTGTCAGACGCGTCTCGAAGCAGCTGTTCCGATTTTTCTGTTTGCCACGAGAATTAGAGATTTTGCCCAGCGTTCTTCTTTGTTAATGTTTCCCTCGAGCCCTTTCTCTCTCTCTCTCTCTCTCTCTCTCTCTCTCTCTCTCTCTCTCTCTCTCTCTCTCTCTCTCTCTCTCTCTTTCTTTCTTTCTCTAATTTTCTATCGTTTTTAACATGCCCTGCTCAGTTGTAGCCGACTGGCCACTCGGACGTCACACTGCCCAGCTGCTTTCGAGTTTTTCTAAAAATTCTGGGGTTTGAATTTTGGTCTCGGGATACGGTATTTACCTTAAAATAACACTACATTTTAGTTATGATTTTTCTAAACAAATTTGGGGCCCTAAAACGGTTTTTAATCAGCTCGAAGAATGCAATTCCCGCGAGAGAGTGGGAGAGAGAGCAAGAGTGAGAGAGAGACAGGGGAGAGGGAGAGAGCGAGAGAGACAGACAGAGCTAGTGAGCAAGATACAATGCAGGCCTAATTATGTTTTTCTCATGCTCACGATTTTCTTTTCTTTCTTTTGTCGTTCTCCGCTCTCTTTCTTCATTTTTCCTATATGTTTCGTGTTTTTCATAAATCATTATTGTTTTTGTTTATCGGCGCCCGCCCCCGATTTGTCACATCATTTTATGGCTTCACAAAACAAGGATTTGGCTGTGAAATATTATCTCTGGATCAAGATCTCCCTCTCTCTCTCTCTCTCTCTCTCTCTCTCTCTCTTTCTCTCTCTCTCTCTCCCTCTATCTTTCTCTCCCTATCACTCTCTCGCCCTCTTTCCCTGATTTTTAAACCTGAGTTTAATCCTATTTTTCAGCCCTATGGTCGGTCCTTAGAAGCTGCACAACGCAAAAAAATCAAACTAAAAATTATACTTCTCTCGTCTGCTCAACAACAATGGCCAATCTCGATAAATTCTATGCTCCCCGGGGTGGAAGGGTGATGATCATGCTCCTCGCTTCGATTTTGGGGATTTCTGTCAATTTTCCGGTGGGTTTTAAGGAGAGAGAGGGCGGGAGAGAGGGAGAGCGGGAGAAAGACAGGGAGAGAGAGACAGGGAGACGGAGAGAGAGAGGGAGGGAGAGAGAGAGGGAGGGAGAGAGAGGGCGAAAGCGATCTATAGAGACAGAGTGAGAGAAAGAGAGCGATAGAGAGAGAGAAACAGACAGAGAAATAACCAAAAAATTTCAGGAAGGCTACTCCAATACTTATCCAAATACGGCTCTACACTCTTTCAAGGAATTTCTGAATGGAACGGCTTTATCTCGTGGATATCAGGTATCAGTCAACTCAAAAAATCGACTCCTTTGCTCGACTAGGTCTAGACATCTATACCATGCTCTAAACCCGTTTCAAATGGCAATTTCAGCAAAATTCTCGAAAATTGCATGCGTAATTTGGAGCCTTACATAGCTGTCGAGACCTAATCAAAGCAAGGGCTCGATTTTAAAAGCTGAACATGAACAACAGGAGTCATTTTGAGCACAAATCTGACCTTTTTCGGGGGTTTTTGGCGCTTCGTGTACCTGTCTAGACCTAAAAAGTCAACAGGGTTGATTTTCGCGCTTCCTAGTACCTTTAAATTTAAACGTCAACAACAGGGGTAATTTTCAGCAAAAATTCCGTCTTTTTTGGTGGGTTGTGGCCTTTTGTGTAGCTGACAAGACCTAGTATATCGAAGGGGTCGATTTTCAAGCTTGCTAGCACCTTTAAGACGCTTAAAAACCGAAAAATTATGCAAATTTTCCTATTTCTAGGGCGGTCTCTCCGAGGAGGCGTACATCTGGGTCTGGACCTCAATTTTGAACGTCTGGCACCTCGGCTTCCTCATCGGCAACCTGCTGATCCCGTTTTTTGCTGAACGCTTTGGTCGTAAAAGTGGGAGTTTAAAAGGGCGGTTAAAACCTGACTTTTAGGTGCCTTATTGTACGCGGCTTGCGTTTCACTTTGCTCTACGGTTCTACTACATCTCGCAATACTTCTAATGCTGCCCGAACTGTTTTTTATCGCTAGAATCTCGAGCTCGATCGCCGGAGGGTTGAGCTTTGGGACGCTTATTATATTTTTGCAGGTAAGACGTGAGGCAGGGAGTGAGAGTGAGAGAGAAAAATAGAGAGAGAGAGGGAGCGAGAGAGTTATAGAGACCGAGAGAGATAGAGAGATAGAGAGATAGTGAGGGCGAGGGCAAGACACATAGAGACTGAGTGAGTGAGACATGCGAGAGGGAGAGAGAGTAAAGAGTGAGAGAGACAGCGAGAGAGAGGGGATGACTTTGTGGCGAGAGAGGGTGAGAAACGGGCAGAGACGGAGCGAGCGAGAGAGAGAGATATGGGAGAGAGAAAGAGAGAGAGGAGAGAGGGCGAGAGAGATGGGGGAGAGAGAACGGGTGGGAGAGAAAACCCTAGCCGCCAACCCGAACTGTCAAATGTCGAAATGCCGAAATGCCATGCAAATGCCGAAAATAATGTCAAAAAACATACTTATAGCAAAAGAAGCAAAATCCCGAAACCTGTAGAAAAATAATTCCATTTTATAAATTTAACGTCTATTTTTTGCCGTTTTTTTTGGCCAGCGGATAATTGTTGGGATGCCAGGCCGCCTTCCTATTCGCCAAAAAATGTGGAAATTGTTTCCTAAAAAGTATAATAGCATTCTTTCCAGGAAACCACCCCCACGAATCTCCGTGGTGTTGCCTCGTTCCTGGCCGAGGTCACATTTTTGCTATGTACAGTCGTCGGGATGGGCGCCGGCATGGATCGGGTGTTTGGTCGGAATTTGATCGCGCTCACAGGTTTGTAGATTAATTTTTAGATCGTTTATCTAATTTTTACGGATCTGGTCAAAAACTGCAATTTTTTCAGGTTTGGCTATCATCCCGGGAGTGATCTGCGTTGGTACAATCCTGCCGCTGCACGAAACGCCAAAATATCTGCTACTTGGAAGGCATGATGAGGAGGCGGCTAGGGAGGCGGTGGAATTTTATTACGGTAGGTGGAGGATCGGACATGAAATTGCGTCTTAGACGATCCTTGTGTCTCTATCGCTCTCTCTCCCTCTCTCTCTCTCTCTCTCACTCTCTCTCGCTCTCTCTGGCTCTCCTTTTCTCTCTCTCTGGATCTCTGTTTCTCTCTCTCGCTCTCTCTCTCTAAGCTAGCCCATACAGCTATGAACACTAAAGGGGGAGCTACAGCAGGAGCCCCACCAACTTTCTTCATTCCCCCAAACAATCTCTGCTAGCCTGCCTGGCCGATCCAATTACTCCATGAAATTCATAATTCATCAGAAATTCCATTCCAAAAGAATCTCCGCTAGCTAACCCAATAAAGAGAGTTGTATCCCCAAAAATCTGTGCTAGCCTGCCTTGATCTATCTAATCACGCCATGTAATTTTGAACCTTCAGGAGATGAGTACGACGCTGATGAGGTGCTGAAAGAGATCCAAAAAGAGGGGCTGGACGGCGATGAAAAATTCAACTTTTACCGCGGCATCCGGCTGATCTTCTCGGAACCATATCTGCGAATGCCTTATCTCATCGGGTTGGCTAGTCTTCAGGTAATAATTTCTCTCTCTAACTCTCTCCTGCTCTTTCTCTAACTCTCTAACTATCTAGCTCTTTCTCCCTCTCTTTCTCCCTCTCTCTCTCTCAATCCTAAACATACATTTCTATGCCTTTTCAGCTTGTCATGGGCCTATTCCCGATCATCTACCTGTCGACGAACTTCTTGGAGGAGATGTTTGAGCCGGCCACGGCGCAGGTTGGAGATTTTCTCTAAGAATCTCCGCTAGATTGGCTGCAATGGAATATGCCATATAACACAATCTAATTTTAGCTGGCGTCTTTCGGGTTCATCTTGGTGCAATTCGGTGCGGGGATTTGTGGGACGTTCGTGGTTTCACGGTAAGTGAGAGAGTGAGAGAGAGAGGGAGAGAGAGAGAGAGAGTGAGACAGAGAACGTGAGAAAAGGAGAGAGTGAGAGAGTGAGAGGGGGAAAGGGAGAAAGCGACAGAAAGGGAGCGAGGGAGCGAGAGAAAGTGAGAGAGAGAAAGGGAGTGGGAGAGAGGAAGAGAAAGGGAGTGAGAGAAAGAGAGAGCGTGAGAGCGATAGGGAGAGAGAGACACAGAGAAAGAGAGAGAAAGAGAGAGAGAGAGAGAGAGAGAGAGAGAGAGAGTGAGAGAGACACCGAGGGAGCGAGAGCGAGAGAGAGGCAGAGCGATCTATTTGATTTTCCAGCTGTGGCCGCCGTCCTCTCCTTCTGGGCCTGGGTGCGATGAATATCTCTTCATTCATCTTGTATATTCTGTTCGAGCGTCTCTCCAGCTACTACGGTGGCCCCTGGGGCTATGGATGCATTTTAGCGCTGTGCATTTTCGGCTTTTCCTATGGGTGAGTCGCCGATAAATTCAGAAAAGTCTAAGATGTTTTCAATAACAAAAAATTGCAGATTTTCAAGGCACCAGATTCTTTTTTTTAAAGTTTAGAAAATGGGCTTTTTCAGGCTGGGGCTGGGCCCGATCTCTTGCTTCATCACCAGCGAACTCGTCGTGCAACGGTATCGCTCTCTGGTGCAGAGTATGGTAAGGGAATTAAAAAGATCACTCTATTTTTGTGCCATTAGGGTCGTTTAAAGGGACCGGGAAGCGTTAAATTCGACCCTTTCGCACGACTAGGTCTCGACAGCTATGTACCATAACCAGATCGAAATCCCCAATTGTCATTTTTAGTAATTTATTTCGTGCCTACTCGCGCTTTTTTTTTAGTTTAATGCACCTGTCGAGACCTAGTCAACCAAAGGGTTGATTCTGCGCCTTCCTGCGCCCTTTAAAACATGCGGATCTGGTTCCACAAACACTATCGTCGTTTTCAGATGTACGTGACGAACACGCTGATCAGCCTGGTCGTCTCCTACCTCGTGCTACCGGCCTACACCCATTTCGGGTGTCTCTCGTTCCTCGTGCTCTTCGTCATCCCGTCGCTCTTCGCGTTTGCCTATCTCTACATTAATTTGCCGGAGACGAAGGATCGAGAGGTGAGGGTTTTTGTAGGTATCTCACTCGCTCTCGCTCATTCTTTCGCTCTCTCTCTCTCACTCTGTCGGTCTCCCTCTCACTCGCTCTCTCACTCTCTCGGTCTCTCACTCTCTCACGCTCTGTCTCCCTCACTCTTTCTCTCTTACCCTTTCTCTCTCGCGCTCGCCCTCACTCTCGCGCAAACTCTCTCTCAAACTCAACTCCTAAAAAATCGACTCTTTCCAGATCCACGAGATTGTTGGCGAGCTCAAAGAAAGGGTCGGCTGCTGCACGGCATCGCGTAGCTTCTCGGAATCCTCATCAACCAATAACATCACTTCCGAAGAGACTCCATTGACCAAACAAAAAACCGGCCAATCACTGCTACCGTAACCCAGCCACAGTACCCCGAAACCGGTGCCAAATTTGCATATTCTGAACATAGTGTGATAGTGTGCGGCTTTGTCTCTCTCGCTCTCTCTCTCCCCCTCTCTCTCTCTCTCGCTCGCTGTCTCTCTCTTCTGCCTCACTCTCTACCCCTCAAGCTTTAAAGGGACCGGCAAGGCGGGGCTATGGATTCCGATAAGCGACACCAAACGCGTTCTAGATTTTTAACGTACTGCCACCTTATCGAAGACTCCACTGTCGTGCGCGTTGCGTGTCGCGGCGCCGCAAAAATCCATAAGGAAGTCACGCCCTTAATCCATAGCCCAAACCTGCCTTCCCCGGTCCTTTAAAGGTTCAAAAACTCACCAATCCACCCCTCGCATCGACTAGGTCTCGACAGCTACGCAGCACTCCAAAGTAACGCTTAAACCTGACGCTGATAGCCCCAGAAATCTGAAATTTTCGCGAAATCCAAGTCCAGGCACCCCAATCGACGTATTGCGTGGCTGTCGAGACCCAGTGGCGGGTGGGGGTCGATTTTGCGAATTCATTGCCTTTTTAAACGCCCATCCGTCCCTATTTTTGCGTACAAAACTCGTGTGCACATGCAATACTGGTCGCTCGTTGCAGAGAGTCGAGGTACAACTACGTTTTTGCTGTTTTATGATTTTTTAGCTGGTATTTTTTTGGTGTTTAGACGATAAATTTGTTGTTGCGCAATGGTAGAATGGCACGTCAAACGCTACGCGGCGCTGCTAGCAAAAATTGTGGGGCTCTCTAAACGTGAGAAAAACAAAGAATGTCTGCTAGTCTGCCTTGTTCATTTGCTGTCACCATCCCTTTAAGAACCAAGGATCTCTGCTAGTCCGCTTTGCATCAGGTTAGCCGCGACGGGGGACCAAATTTTTGCCTGTGATTCTCTACGGCCCTATAACAAAATATCAACTATTTTCTAAGATTTTACATAGTTTTCAGATACCAACTTCGCTCAGATTATAAAAAATACCAACAATTTTCGAAAATTTTCGACTTTTGGCCCAAAAATGACCAAAAAAGTTTGAATTTTCAAAATTATTTCAATAACCAGCGCCCAAAACCCGCTTTGCGGGCCTTGGGCGCTGGAATGCGGCCTTTACATGAGAAATTTGACTTTCCGATAGCGCGGGTCCTTCGGACCCCCCGACCACACGCGCGCGTGCAACTTGCAAGAATGAGGAATTTTCTATTTTTTCACATTATGCAAATTAGCGCTCCCGGACCCCCAAAAATGAATAAAACCGGCTTTAACTTTGTAAACTTGTATTTTTTCGGAATTCTGAAAACGCCATCGGAAAGAGGAGGGTCGATTCCCCCAAGTGACGGAGAATTAGTGCATTTTATGCACGGGAAGGCCCTCAAATCGGCCCTCGTAAGTGACATCCACACACACACACACACACACAGAGATACACGCCAAAATTATATAAGGTAGGATCTTACTGAAAATTAATCAAAAAGTGCTAAAAAACTATAAAAATACATTATAGCAACAGGTGGAAACACCAGAAAATGGTTTTCCCTCTGCCAACCCCCCGCTAACAATCGAGAACCGCAAACGCGAACAGGGCATGGATTTATCGACATGTATCATCGTATCGGCAAGACAAATCACAAGTGGATGAGGTAGAGTTAATGAGGGTACATAAGGCTGAGCTTTAATGGATGGAAGGATGAGGTGTGGCAGATGGGCTGTAGAGGAGGGGCCGATTCGTACGAGTAGAACAAAACGGCACGCCCTTCTTTACTTCTTTTTGCGCTGCGCACCAGCGGCCGACGCGTCCGGCAGCTCCCGGGCGGTTCCAGTGTCGTCCTTCGGGGCGTCGGTGATGCCCAGGATCTTGCGGACCGCCTCGTTCCTCTGGAAATCACGAGATTGGTTTGAATTTTTGGAGGTTCTTAGAAGGGCGTGACTACGGATCTGGACTGTTAGCGGTGGGGGGACCAAATTTTTCCTGTGATTCTCTACGGTCCTCTAACAAAATAGAAACCATCTTTATAGCAATTTACATAGTTTTTAGATATAAAAACAATCTAAAAATATTAATCATTTTTCGAAGGCATTTTTTATGAGTTTCTAGCAAACAAAAACTACGCAAAAAACCCTATAAAAATACCTTATACAGCCTTAACACGTGGTTTCCCCCCCCCCGCTAACAGTCCAGAACCAAGACTAATACTGTTAGCAGAGCCGGGAGCGGGAATTTTAGTGAAGGAGCATCTAGTTTTTCCGCGAAAATTAGTTTTCCCCCTTCTAAACATCCATCCTCCCGTACTAACAGTCCAGTACCCAAAAGGTCCATACCGGTTTGTAGCCGTAAAAAGCCGCCCGGACGACTTTGCATTCGGCGCACCGACCGATCAAACCTGGAAAAAATATTTCACAAGTGCTGCTGATTAAGCCTACGAGCATATGGGTTTGTCTTGTTCAGGTGATGATACGGCTGCCTCACGTCGCATCTGTTCCTCTGTCCCGTCCAGCCACTGAAAAAAAAGTGTGGGCTAGTGGTTTAAAATCTAAACCGGATTTCGTTCTGGTTCGTTAGCAGGGGGGGGTTTATCAGGGGGAGGGGGAGTTTAATGTCGTCGCTTTTGCGATATTTCTTTATTTTGCGGCACTATGTTATGTTATACCCGGTCAGCATCAAAAAAATATCCTAATAACTTTAGTTCTGGATATTAACTAACAACTAATAATTTGTCACCTTATATAATTTGGTCGCGTCTCTTTGTGTGTCTGTGTTCGTTCTTTGTCTTTGTGCGGAGGTCAGTTTCGAGGCCAGATTCGAGGCCCTTCCCGTGTCCAAAATGCCCCAATTCTTCGTCACTAGGAGGAATCGACCCTCCTCTTTCTGATGGCGTTTTCAGAATCCCGATAAAATACAAGCTTAGAAAGTTAAAGCCGGTTTTAGTCATTTTCGGGGGTCCGGAGGCCTAATTTGCATAATGTAAAAAAATATAAATTTCCTCATTCTTACGAGTTGCACCCGCGCGCGTGGTTGGGCGGGGGGGGGGTCCAAAGGACCGAACTATCGAAAATCCGAATTTTTCCTGCAACGACGACATTCCAACGCTCGAGGCCCGCGAAGCGGATTTTGGGCGCTGGTAATACGATAATTTAAGAAACTTTTAGTTTTAACACAACCAAAAATAACCCTGAATATGGTAAGCTATTTTTCGGGATTTTCGATATTTCTCGACATTCTGCTGACGCTATTGGATAGAGCATCAAAGAAAACTACGAAGAGCTTTCTATACAAACCATAATAATATAATTTAAGAGATGGGAAGCTATTGACAAAAATGTTTCCTCCCAATTTTATATTTCCCTTACTTTACTTCTATACTTTTATCCTCAATTTAAATATTTCCTACATTTAAGCAACTGCGCTCTCAAGCCAAATTGGCAGCCATTGTAAAAGTCGCCCCCCTTCCCCCGATAATGCGGAAACACCCTCAACGTACAACACGGTCCTGTCGCAATCCAAGCAAAGTCGGAGGGCCCCTTCGCTACGCTTCACCGGCCCCTCCTTGCAGCAAACGCACTCAGGCTCTGCGATCTCCATCAACGTCGTCGCGGTTTTCGCGAGCAGCTCGAGGATCTCGTCGCGCGACTTCTTCTGAAAGCCGAGGAGCTCAAGCTCAAGCTTTTCCGTGTTAGCGGTCGAGCAATTGTTTAACCGGGGAGCCACGCAATACTTTCCGAGCCGAAGGAATTCCATTTAGAGCGCACGTTCAGGGAAGGGCCGTGTGCTCGTTCCAACGTGTACACCCTATGGACGTAGGGACCGCGCTCACCTCCTGCCCGTGCCGTGGGAGGCAATTCCCCTCCTTTGCGGCGTGGGGCGCCCCTCGCCCCCTGGCCAGGTTGTAGCTGTGGCTGACTGGTATCCATCAGCACCTCCCGAGCGGGAGGCCCGGGTTCGACCCCCGGCCGCGGCCAAAATTTTTGCTTTTTCCAAAAAACGTCCCTGAACGTGCCCTTTAAAGGGCATTCAGGCGCGTATTTGGGGAAAACGTGAATTTTGCCGCGGCTGGGGGTCGAACCCGCCACCGCCAGCTCGGGAGCCGCGGATGAATACCGGTCAGCCACGGGTGCAGCCTAGTGAGCGCGCGTGGGGTGAATAATCTGTGACCACTCTACGGCTTCCCCTCTGCGCGTGCGCTTTAAACAATCTCTTTGGCACCTACAAACAGTTCAAATATTGTTGACAAATGTTTAGAAAATGTTAACTTTTTGAACAAAAATGTAAGGTAACCGAACAAAAATCGTCGATTCCAAAGTAGCTTTCCCTGCTTAACCGCCCCCCTGCTAACAGTCCAGTACGGCAATCCCCCAGAAAGGTGTCGAAATTTGGTCGTACCTTGGCGGCCTCCCAAGTCCAAACGAATGGTGGGGCAAATGTGTTCGTGCGGTTCTGCGCGTACGACGTCTCCAACAGGATGTCGCCGACCTGTAATTGGTGGTGGAATCCAATAGAGGTTTCAGTTTCCCCCCGCCCCCTAGCCGACACCCAATTTTTGTTTCTCGGCTCGCTGTTGATCCTCAGGTGTGTAAAGTATACCAAACTGCTCGCCTTGCTGTGGCGAGTATTTTGATATATCAGGTTGGTAGATAAGTCCTGTCACAAATTTTTGAAATCGCTCTATAAAGCCGCAGAAACGTCCAATTTTCACTTGCGATACATGATTTGATAGGTCTTGAGATGCTCTACCGTGGTTGCAGTCGGATAGGGTCTGGAAATTGTGGGTCGCCGAGATAACGGCCCTTGAAGATTTTTGAATAATTACGCAAAAGTGTTTTAGCGAATTATCTCTGCATAGAGCAATTTGCATGCGATACCTTTAACGCCAATCGATAGCTCTCGAGGAGTAGATATCGATAGATGTTGAGATCATCAAAATTGGACACCGGATGACCGAGATACGACCCCTTGAAATTTAGCCCATTTCTTAGAACTTTTCTCGAAATCCCATACATTCTTCTCGGTGCGTGCAAAAACAAGGCGGCAAAGTTTGGCCCAAATGTGCAAAATGTATGGGATTTGGTGAAAAGTTCTAAGAAATTGGCTAAATTTCAAGGGGCCATATCTCGGCCATCCGATGTCCGATTTTGATGATCTCAACACCTATCGATATCTACTCCTCGAGACCTAATGTTTGGTGTTAGAGGTATCGTATGCAAATCACTCTATGCAGAGATAACTCGCTCGAAAGCTGTGACTAGATTTTGAGCGAAACTTTTCGAAGCTGTATCTCGGTGACCAGCGCCTTCGGGGTCCTAGGAGGGTCATGCTGAGGTAGAGCGTCTGAAGACCTATCAACTCATGTATCGAAAGCCCAAATTGGATGTTTCAGTGGCTTCATAGAGCGATTTAGAAAAATTGTGACAGGACTTATCTACCAACCTGATACTTTACACACCTGGAGATGAACGGGGAGCTGAGATACGGCAGGTGGGGGCCGGCTGGGGGGTAAACTGAACCACAGCCGGCGGCTTACCTTTGGGCCGCCCTGGAATCCATTGTCCGGACGCACAGATCGGATGACCCCATAATCGTCGTGCACAACGGCGACGTCGTCTTCCCGCTTTCGCCGTCGCTGGTCTAACTAGGGAGGTATCTGAACTCGGCATCGAACTTTGAAAAGTCAGATACACCATTCGACGCGCCTTGTCGAGGGATTCCAAATATGTGATAAAATCAACCAGAGCCTATAACCGTAAAAAGTTATGAGCATTTTAAGTTTTGCAGTGAAAATCGCCGCGGCGATATGAGCCCCTCCCAGCGCACCCTGTCGATCGGCCCCGTGGCCTAGTGGTGTGCGCATGGGTCTCCGGTCTGTACGACCAGGGTTCGGATCCACTCAAGATTTTTATTTTTTGCTTTTTGACCAGTTCCTACTTTTTGCATTTCCAAACTCGGGAATAAGTTTTTCTTGACTGTGTGACCCCTAAAAGGCAACAGCGATCATAAAATAACCTCGGGCAACAAGACCAGGATTGGTCGCTCTCCATATCAAAGTTGGCAAAATCATCAAAAAACCGCCCTTTTAAGACTCTGTACGAATTCGAAGAATGTAATTTGTCGAAAACAGAACAGTACATCTTGATCAGCAGAAAATTCTCTTTCGAATGAGCTATCTTACATAGGCTTTACGCGAAATTCTCGAAACGTCTTCGGCAAGCTGGCCATACGCTACCCTTACCCCGCATTCCAAAAATATTTTTTTACGGAAATTTTTGGCAGCCGTATGTAACATAGCTCATTTGAAAGAGCTTTCTTTGTTGAATAAGGAGCACTAATCAATTTAGGCTAAATTCCATTCCGCGGGATGATACATGGTCTCAAAGATACTGTTTTTCACCATTTTGACGACTTCGAATGCTCATAACTTTTTATCGTTATACGCTCTGGTTGATTTTATTACATATTTGGAATCCCCTCGACAAGGCGCGTCGAATGGTGTATCTGACTTCTCAAGGTTCGATGCCGAGTTCAGATACCTCCCTAGTAAGAACACCAATTATTTTGCTAGTCATAAATAGCTTACCAAAGGCGCTTCTGCTGCTTCGAGGGGCCGGCCGAAGGGGAGCGACTCCGGGCGCGCTTCTCCCTTACAGCAGCGTCGTCCTTCCCGGTGTCGGTCTCACTATCCTAAGAACACCAATTATTTTGCAAGTCATAAATAGTTTACCGTTTCAGCCACATATTTAGGCTTTCGGCCCTTGGAGGGAGCAGGAGAACGAGTGGGACTGGCGGCTTTCTTTCTTCCGGTCGGTCTCCCTATTCAAATAATTAATCTAATCCGGTGATTCTAATCACGAAATCTGCAAGGCTACAACTTAACGATGCAAAGTGTTCATGACATGCAAATTGGAGTTGCCGATCTAAGCATGTAAATATCGCCTGCCCCGATGGTGGCTATGATCGCACAACAACAAATTTATCGTCTAACACACCAGAAAAAAGACCAGCTGAAAAAATAAAACCTCAACTATCAAACCTCGACTCTCTGCAACGAGCGACCTGTATTGCATGTACACACGAGTTTTGGTACGCAAAAATAGGGACGGATGGGCGTTTAAAGGGGCAATGAATTCGCAAAATCGACCCCCACCCGTCACTAGGTCTCGACAGCCACGCAATGCGTCAATTGGGGTGTCTGGACCTGAATTTTGCGAAAATTTCAGATTTCTAAAGCTAGAATTGAGATTTAGAGCGCACCTAGAATTGGCAGGGTGTGCAAGGCCAATCGGCAGGCTTGCGCAAGGGGCACTGTCGCTGGCGCCCGTTTTAGGCGACGAACCCCCGCTATTGCACGTGATTTTCAGCGGAATTTCAGCGGAAAATCACCAAATAGCCTGCGTAAGCGGTTCCCTGTCACGACGCGACCGCGCCGCCTCGCACACCCTTCCATTCCTACTTGCGTTTCGGGGGGACGTGCTATCAACATCAGGTAACGCGTGTTACTTCGGAGTGCTGCGTTGCTGTAGAGACTTAGGCGATACGGTGGTAGATTTTTTGGGGGGTTTGACCCTTTAAAGGACCGCGGAAGGCAGGCTTAGGCTTTGGATGACTGACTATGGTTTTTTATAGATTTTTGTTGCAACGGAGACACGCAACCCGATTTTTCCGCGGGGTGGTAGATCCATAAGGACGTCCTACGGGTGCGCGGCGTGTATAGTGGAGTGTCGCTTATCGGAATCCATAGCTCCGCCTTGAGGGTCCCTTTAGGGGGGAGAGAGAACGTAAGGAGAGAGAGCGACCGAGAGAGAGAGCGAGAGAGAGAGAGAGAGAGACCATTCAGGGAATTTTTTCGAGTTTTCTTAGCTTATTAATTCAATGTCGAAAGCTTAATGTTTATTTTTAAACATTAACGGCATTCTTTTCGACCTTTCTTAGCTTTTTCATGCTAGGCCAGGGCAAACTAGCCCAGGCCTTTGGCGAAATCCCGGCACCTCTAACAAAGCCCAGTTTTTGCTGTAGACAACAAATTACTGGGCAGGTCAGCAGGCTGTAGTTTGGCTGGAACGTGGTCGGATGAATGATAAGACTAGGGCAAGGGGAGAGAGAATGAAGCAGGCAGGAGTGGGGCAGAGAACGAGAGACGCAGACTACGAAGTCGGTCCGGTATCCGTTTTGGGTGATAAGACTACGACATTCATCTCCACCCGGCCACGCCATTTACTCAGCTGGCGGAAAGTCGATGTTTTTCCCCAGGATTTTTGGGGTTATTAAAGGTTTTTTGCGCTTTTAAACAAATAATCGGCTTCTCATTGCTTTTTAACTTTGAAAAGCCTTTTGATACGTTGATTTTTATAGGGGTTTTAGCTTTAAGGTAGATCACGTTTCCAAATCGAGTTCGGTCTATTTCTCTCGCGTTCTGTCTTTCTCTCTCTCTCTCTCTCTCTCTCTCTCTCTCGATCTCTCTCGCTTTCTCTTTCTCGCTCTCTCTGTGTCGCACTCTCTCTCGCTATCTATCTCGCTCTCTCCCTCGCTATCTCTCTCTCTTTCTCTCTCTGCCTCTTTCTCTCTCTATCTCGGTCTCTCTCTCCCTCGAGCTCTCTCTTCTCTCAGTCTCTCGCTCTCTCTCTCTCTCTCGCTCTCTCTCTCTCCCTCTCTCTCTCTCTCTCTCTCTCTCTCTCTCTCTCTCTCTCTTTCTCTCTGCCTGTCTCCCTATTTCTATCTATCGCTCTCTTCCTCGCGCCATTTAAATTCGCTATTTATTTTATGTTTACCTTAGATACCTGGCTTTCTAGACCTTTCAATTCTTTTATACCTAGGTAAAATCCGTTAATCGTCAGCCATGACCAAGCCGAAAGTGTACGTTATTGGGGTGGGCATGACCAAGTTCACAAAGCCCGGATCCACCGGACTGGACTATCCGGATTTGGTCAAAGAAGCCGGTAACTAACTTCTAAATTAGGCTGAAGCTCGAGTTTTTTTAGTCAATGAAGCCCTGGCCGATGCCAAGTTGGAGTACAAGGATATCCAACAGGCGACAGTTGGCTACCTGTTTGGAGGTGCGTTTTGTAATGCTGGTACTCAGTAATGTGAGTGGATTAGAGGCAGGCTAGCAGAGATTCTTTGAGGAATTGGAGGGGGATGGACGGGGGGCAGGCTAGCAGAGATTCTTTGCGGCTTTGGAGAGGCAGGCTAGCAGAGATTCTTTGAGGAATTGGAGGGGATGGAGAGGGCAGGCTAGCAGAGTTTCTTTGAGGAATTTTCGCGCTTCTGCTTTCGAAATAAATCGATTTCAGGTACCTGCTGCGGGCAGCGGCGCCCTCTACGAGATTGGGTTGACCGGGATTCCGATTTTCAACGTAATATTTTGTATTTTAATCTAATTGATTTAATTTGAAATTCGTCTTAAAACTAGAATTTAATTTTAATGAAAATATTTAGGTAAATAACGCGTGTGCTTCGGGGTCTTCAGGCGTGTTTCTGTGCAAGCAGATCCTCGAATCTGGTATGTAAATAATTTCAAAGAATTGTTATAAAAATGATTTGAATAACTTTTTATCAAACCACTGGCAATTTTAGTGGGACATTTTTGAGATTTTGGTTTCTATGTTGTTTAGGAAATGCCGACGTGGTGCTGGCATGTGGTTTCGAGAAAATGGCCGCCGGCTCGTTGGAGAACATGGGCGGAAAACTCGATGACCGTGCCCTGTCTGTCGACAACCATATCCAGGTTGGCGGGCAGGCTAGCAGAGATTGTTGCGGAATTTCGGGGTTCGGGCAGGCTAGCAGAGGCCCTTTGAGAAAAACGCGAAGTCATTCAAGCTAGCAAAGACGTTTTGAGAAAATGCGGCAAGCCAACAAAGATTTTTAGGGCACTTGGAAGGCAGGCAAGCTAGCAGAGATTCTTGGGGAATTAGAATGATAGGATCGGACGGCGCGAGGGCTAGCAGAGATTATTTGGGAATTTCGGAAGCTCGGCAAGCTAGCAGACAAGCTTTGAGAAAACCGTGCCTGGCGGGCGGGCTAGCAGAGATTCTTCTGAGGAAATTTGGAGTTTTGGGCAAGCTAGCAGAGACTATTTGAGGAAACGAGGCATAAGGCGGTTAGCAAGAACCCATTAGGAATTTTTGAGGGCTGGGCAGGCTGGCTAGCAGAAGTTCTTTAGGAATTAGAAAAAGTCAGCATCGGTCGAAACTTCCTTTTGCGTTTTCGTTCGGAAAATTGGACCTGGGCAAGCTAGAAGAGATCATTTTGTCAAAAAACGAGACATCGGGTAGGCTAGCAGAAATTATTTGTGGATTTTTAGGTCCAGGTAGGCTAGCGGAGTCTATTTTGGAATAAGGACAGCGGCTAGGAAGCTGAAGCGGCCCGGCCGAGTTTTTTAGCGTCGGGTAGTCGGGTAGCGTAAGGCCTGGCAAGCTAGCAGAGATCAATTGGGAAGTTTACCCTAGCTGTAAGCTAATTTTTAAGGTGATGGCCGATACCTACGGTCTATTCCCCGCCCCGATAACCGCCCAAATGTTCGGCAACGCCGGCAAGGAGCATATGGAGAAATATGGTGGGTTTAAGGGGACAAAGACACGCGAAAATCGACCCCTCTCATTGACTGGGTCTCGACAGCTACGCGACACGCCAAATGACGAGGCTCTATCCAATTTTTTGCCGCAAAAAATTGAATGCTTGGCAAGGGTCCAGGACGCTTTCAAGTTTCATTTGCCGCGTCGCGTACCTGTCGAGACCTAGTCGATATGGGGGGTCGATTTTTAGCCTTCTAACCTCTTTAAATTATTTTAAGCAAAAATTATCACTTGTTTCAGGCACGAAGCGCGAACACTTTGCCAAGATTGCCCACAAGAACCACCTGCACTCCGTTCACAACCCGTAAGCTCGGGGAAAGGGTACGGTAACCGGAGCATTTTCTAGGAAATCGCAGTTCACGAAGGAGTTCAGCTTGGATCAGGTGCTGAATGCTCGCCAAATTTATGACTTTATGGGACTGCTGGAGTGCAGGTAGGGGGAGGACTACGAAGTACAACTTCCCCGTTCCAGCCCTACTTCCGATGGGTCGGCTGCCGCAGTCCTGTGCTCGGAACGCTACCTGGAGGCTCATCCTCATCTCAGGCCACAGGCTGTCGAGATTGTTGGTGGGTGAGAACGAGAGAGAGAGAGAGAGAGAGAGAGAGAGAGAGAGAGGAAGAGATAGAGAGCGAGAGAGAGAGCTAAGGAGAGTGAGCGCGTGAGAGAAAGCGGGAGAATGTGAGTTAGAGATATCGCGACATAGAGAAGGAGAGAGCGAGAGCTAGAAAGAACTAGAGAGCGTGAAAGAGAGCGAGAGAGCGAGAGAGTTAGAGAGAGAGAGAGCGTGACACAGGAAGAGAGAGAGAGAGAGAGAGAGAGAGGGAGGGAGAGAGGGAAATAAGACGAGTGAGCTAGACAGAGCGAGAGTGATAGAGAGGGCGAGTGACATAGAAAATTCCATATTTTATAGGCTTCCAACTGGGCACCGATCAGCCATCGGTCTTCGCCGAGAACTCGAACATCAAGATGATTGGCTTCGATATGATCCAGAAAATTGCCCAAAACCTGTATAAGGAGACCGGACTCACGCCGAATGATGTTCAAGTAAGGAATTCGGCTTTTTGTCTTCCTGGTCTCTTTACAATTGGCAGAACTATGTATCATATTTTTCAGGTGATCGAGCTGCACGACTGCTTCGCGCCCAACGAGCTGATCACATACGAGGCGCTTGGATTGTGCCCGATTGGTAAGGAAATCTCGCGATATCTCTCTCGCTTCTCTCCCTCTCTCACTCTCTCTCTTTCTTTCGCTCGCTCGCTTGCTCTCTCTCTCTCTCTCTCTCTCTCTAGATCTCTCTCGCGCTCTCCCTCTCTTTCGCTCTCTCTAACTCTCGCATTTCAGGAAAAGCCGGCGAGCTGATCGATCGTGGCGATAATACCTATGGTGGAAAGTGGGTGATCAACCCCAGTGGAGGCCTCATTTCCAAGGGGCATCCCATCGGAGCAACAGGTACCAGAATGTTGTGATTCTAGAAAACCCGTACAGGCAAGCTAGCAGAGATGCTTGAGGAATTTTGAGACTAGCAGCGGGTTTGGTTGACTAAAAACGGACCAGATTCAGGGGCCAGCAGACCGGCAGCAGAGGTATTTGGGAAATTGAAGACTCAAACTGCTTGAGAGTGGCAGGCTAGCAGGGGTTCTTTGAAAGTGAAAACACGAATAAACCCGGCAAGCTAGCAGAGATTCTTGAGGATTTATTGCCGCAACCAGTAAAGGCAGAGTGAGCAGGCTACCAGAGATCATTCAGGAGGGTAGAAACGATTTGGCATCTAATAAAAATTATTCTGACGGATTCGTTGAGTTGGCAAGCTAACAGAAACCATTTGAGAATCGGAATCTTGTGAAATTTTCCCCTTTTCAGGCGTTGCCCAGGTTGTCGAGCTGTCCAACCAGTTGCGTGGAAGGTGCGGAAAGCGTCAAGTGCCGAACGCTCGGGTTGCCATGCAGCACAATATTGGTAAATCCAGCAAAAAAATGTTTTTTTTCTACCTTTTCTGCTTCCTAAAAAGTGATTTTGTTTTAGGCATCGGAGGGGCCGGCGTGGTGGCGATGTACAGACTTGCTGGAGGCGCAGGAAGTTCACCAGCTGCTCATGTGAGTTGGAGAGCAAAAAAGAGTGTGAGCTATAGAGAAAGTGCGAGAGAGCGAGTAGGACAGAAAAAAGCGCGAGAGAGACAGAGAGTGAGAGAGAGAGAGACAGAGAGCGAAAGTGAGTGAGCGAGAGAGAGCGCGAGTAGGAGAGTGAGAGAAAGTGTGAGAAACGAGAGAGAGAGATAAAGCAAGAGAGAGAGAGAGCGAGAGAAAGAGCGAGAGATAAAGCGAGAGAGAGAGCGAGAGAGAGGGAGGGAGAGAGCTGGAGAGCCCCTGATCCTTATCCATTTTCCAGACCCCAGCCGTCTCTGGAGCCTCCCTGAAGAGTGACGTCATCTTCGACGAGATCAAGGAACGAATCCATACCGTAAGTTTTAGATACTTTTTGGATTCTCAATACCGTAACCTACCTTTGGCGGCCAGCAACCTGGCACGCCCCCTTTGATCCACAAAAATCGATTTTTTTTTCAGGAAAAAGATCTGGTCCAAAAAGTGAGCACCTCGTTCGGGATCACCATCTCCGGGGCGAACGGTGTCACGAAGAAGTGGTTTATCGACACCAAGGCGTCGCCGCCATACGTCGGAAATCAGTACGTTGTGCTAAGTAGATCGGGCGTATTTAAAGGGACTTTGCTGGTTATGGATTCGTGGTTCGGAACGCTGCGCCTCCGACACGCAACGCGCACGCAATCGATTAGGCAATGTAAGCAAGGCGTATGCGTGCGTAGCGAGAGTATACAAAATTCGTACAAAAAAAACGTGTTTTGCCTCGCCGGCATCTCTAAAGGGGCTGACAATTGCGAGAATCGACTCTTCCAATCGATTAGGTTGCGTTGCGTGTCACACAAAATCCATAGCCAAAAATCGTAGCTATTCCTTGCAAGTGCCTTTAAGGGGCGAGTGAAGTACTACCGGTTTTTGTAAAATTTGAATGATGAGTTTTTTAGGGAGCGCCCAACTGAGATTTCGGTAACCGTATCCGATGAGTCGTTCATGCAGATCGCTTCTGGGGCCTTGAAGCCGGATCAGGTGAGAGAGTGCGAGAGAGAGAGTTAACAAACGTTAGAGAGAGAGAGATAGGGAGAGAGAGTCAGAGAGCGAAAGAGATAAAGAGTGGAACACATCCATCATTTTCAGGCCTTCATGCAGGGCAAAATGAAGCTGAAGGGCAACATTGCCAAGGCCATGAAACTCCGCCAACTCCTCGACCCCAAACTCCTCAAGGCCAAGATCTAACCCCCTAAAGGGCCGCTGAAGCCACCATTTTCATGTATTTATTAGAATTTTTGCCGACAGAATAAAGCTGTTTTTCAAAACGATGGAATGTCAGTGGAATTGAAAAAGAAGAAAGCGTTAGAATTGTCTCATCGCCTCGTGCCGTCCTGGAAAAAGACGCCGCCGTCGATGGCGCAGTATTTGGGGCAGATGCCTTGATTTCCGAGGATACCTGAAAAGATTTCTCTCTCTCTCTCTCTCTCTCTCTCTCTCTCGCTCTCTCCATCTCTCTGGCTCTTCTACTTACCGTCTTTCCCTCCAGAACCTGCCACACCATTTTTTCCATCAAGCCCAGGTACTCCAGGCGGTCCAGGCGGACCGGGCGGGCCTGAAATGGGTGTATTTCGTAGCTTTTTTTCAGACGATTTCCAACAAAATAGTTAAATGCATCCTATTTCGATAAAACATCCGGCAAATAAAAACTGGCCCATTGGTCCCGCTCCGTAAGTTGGTCCGGGCATGCCATCGTGGCCCTTCGGGCCCATACCACCCATCTGTCCCATGCCACCCATCGAGCCGGGCATCTGAAAATGCAATTTTCCTCGATATTTTAGTTTCTTGGTCCCTTTAGAAAGTCTTAAAAAGTTTGTAAAAGAGGTTAAGTCTTTAAAGTAATGAACGAGCATGCTAGCAGCGATTCTTACGAAAACGGGCTTCATAGGTGTCGAAAGGCTAAGAAACATCCAAAATTATGCACGGCGATCCTGCCCCCTTCCATCCCCTCCAATTCCTCAAAGAATCTCTGCTAGCTTGCCCCTCCAATCCTCAAAGAATCTCTGCTAGCCTGCCGCCCTCCATCCCCTCCAGTTCCACAACTAATCCCATACCGGTTGGTTCGATTCCGCATCTTTCCCTGGCATTCCGGGAATTCCGATACCTCCAGGACGTCCACTACCACCGGGGGCACCTTTTGGGCCCGTCGGACCGGGCTGGCCGTTTGCTAAAATGCTTTCACGCACCTTAGAAACTCCCAACCTCCAAGCGGTCCACGAGGGCCAGCCTTTCCGGACATTCCGGTGGCCCCAGCGGGCCCTTGGGGCCCAGCTGGGCCCTTGGGGCATGGCTTGCAGGGTGGGGGCGTCAGGGCGTCGCAGGGGAGGAGGGCTTGCCTAAAAAAGCACTACCAAGTTTGAAACCGGCCTGGAAGCGGAAATATGGCCTCGAAATTAGTTTTTCCTGCAAAAATCTGCTAGCCTACCTGCCAGGGATCCCGGGTACACCATGAGCGCCGGGAATTCCAGGTTTTCCGGAATTTCCGGGCCTGCCTGCTGGGCCAGGTGGTCCGGGCCGGCATATCATTTTTGAAGACGATTCAGCAGGGCCTAATATGGTAAAAAAAGTTCAATAAAGTATTTTAAAGTTAAAATCCAGAAAAGACGAGCGGTCATGCTCCCCTTAAAAGACAGAACGGCATGAGCGGCACGCAACGCGACACGAAGTACGACACGCGACGCGCCAGGCGAAGTGGCACGCGACGCGCAAAGTTGCAGCTACCGCGATACACAACGCGACACGCACGGCGACGCACCGCGAGACGCAACGCTACCAGCAACGCGGTGCGCGATGCGACTTGAACGCAACATGCAACGCGCCACGCAACGCGACACGCGACACGTAACGCTTGACCCCCTGGCCGCCGTGTTTCGTAAGCGATTACGTAATGAAAACGTCGCGGTGTCGCGTGTTCCCTGCGATTCAGACGCCATAACGATTCCGCAGCTATCGAATCCATAGACCTGCCTTGCCAGCCCCTTTAAAAACCTTGACCTACCTCCGACCGCCCCAGCCAATTGCGCCAACGGGGGAGCTGCAGATGGAGGAGCGGCGGAAGAAACTGAGCTTCTGCTCGAGCTTGAGCTTGAGCCCGAGTTTGCCGTAGTTGGCATCATAGAATCCATGTCGTCCGGTTTCTCCAGTTTTTCTGTCACTTCGGTTTCTTGTCCGTATCCGGATGCGCTGGCTTCTGGAGCAAGAACCTTTCCGGAAGCTGGAACCTGAGTTTCGGACGTCATCTTCCGAATTTCTGGCGTTGTTGGCTCAGAATCGTAGCTTTCGGAAGCGACGGAAGCTGCTTCAAGAGTCACGGTAGTGGTTGCAGATTTTTCGTCGATTTCAGAGATCGGGGAAGTGGCATCAGGTCGCGTCTCGTGGCCGCTTTCGGCGCGTGAAAATCTGAACGAGAACTTATAAGGAAATTTCCTCAAAGAATCTTTGCTAGCCTGTCCTCCGCTTCCTCACCTTTCCGCCATCTCCTGCTTGCTCATCTTCCGCCTCCGGACGACGAATCGACGGCCAGATTTTAGGGTGACAATTTGTTGAATGATCGATTCAAAATCCGGGGTTTTCGTTGGTTTTTCGGATGTAATTGTGGTCGTAGTTGTAGTTGTACTCGTAGAAGTCGTCGAATCTTCCAACTCCTCGAAATAGTAGAAGATCTCTTCTTCGTCGGTCTTCTTCTGGCCCTTTTTCGGGCCGAATTTGGAATCAGGGACTCTGAAAAAGGTTTCGACAATTGTTAAAAAATTGTTAAAGGAGCCAGGAAGCACGAAGATCGACCCCCAGCGTTGACTAGGTCTCGACAGCTATGAGAGGCTCCAAAAGACACGCGGGTTTTGTGATTTTCAGGCCTTTTCGACCTGGTGTGAGCCTAAACCCACAAATGGCTTTTCAGACGCCATTTGGAGCATTGCGTAGCTGTCGAGACCTAGTGGATGAAAGGACTTGATTTTGGCGCTTCTTAACTGTTTTAGTCGGAAACTTATGGGCTCATTAATGACTTAATCTGCCCCGCTTTTTCAACTTACTTCAGCTGCTTTTCTCCATTTGCGATGGCGGCTGTCAGGTCAATTGAATGGACCCTAAAAATACATAACAAGACTTAGCGATTTATGCTTTAAGTATTCTATTCTTCAGCTATCCTTTAAAAAGTTCTTTTTAAAAAGTCAAAAAAACAAAAAGCATTTACCTCTTTAGGTCAGCACTGCCAAACCCGTTCCTCTTCTTCAGTTTTGCAAGCAATTCCATTTTTTTGTTCGACAATTTCTTTGATTTTTCCTTCTAAAAAAGTTTGATTGAATCCTAAATTTTGACCCAGATACCGTAGTCCCACTTCCTAAGGGTCGAATTTTGGCCGAGGCGGCTTTCAAAAGTTTTTCAAGTCGACCAGCATCCCGCAAAGCTTCGTCCTTTTCAGGTTTTGGAAAGTCTAAATTGCAAATAAGCTATAAGGGCATATTTAGGTTTTAAAGGCACTGGCAAGGCAAAAATCTATAGCTTTTAGAGTACGTCTTGCCTTCCGTGCTCCTCTAACGCTTCAAAATTTACCTTCAACTTCAAAAACCTCCATCGCATCGTCGAGCTTACTGGATCGGGTGGTTCGGTTGTGGCCGAGAAGTTGGAGCAGCTCAAGCTGGTCTTCTAGGTCGTTCAGAAGCTCCTAAAGATTCGTGTTTTAATTGAGATTCCTCAAAGAATCTCTGCTAGCCTGCCCCCTCCATCCCCTCCAATTCCTCAAAGAATCTCTGCTAGCCTGCCCCCGTCCATCCCCTCCAATTCCTCAAAGAATCTCTGCTAGCCTGCCCCCGTCCATCCCCTCCAATTCCTCAAAGAATCTCTGCTAGCCTGCCCCCCTCCATCCCCTCCAATTCCTCAAAGAATCTCTGCTAGCCTGCCCCCTCCATCCCCTCCAATTCCTCAAAGAATCTCTGCTAGCCTGCCCCCGTCCATCCCCTCCAATTCCTCAAAGAATCTCTGCTAGCCTGCCCCCGTCCATCCTCCAATTCCTCAAAGAATCTCTGCTAGCCTGCCCCCTCCATCCCCTCCAATTCCTCAAAGAATCTCTGCTAGCCTGCCCCCTCCATCCCCTCCAATTCCTCAAAGAATCTCTGCTAGCCTGCCCCCTCCATCCCTCCAATTCCTCAAAGAATCTCTGCTAGCCTGCCCCTCCATCCCCTCCAATTCCTCAAAGAATCTCTGCTAGCCTGCCCCCTCCATCCCCTCCAATTCCTCAAAGAATCTCTGCTAGCCTGCCCCCTCCATCCCCCTCCAATTCCTCAAAGAATCTCTGCTAGCCTGCCCCTCCATCCCCTCCAATTCCTCAAAGAATCTCTGCTAGCCTGCCCCCTCCATCCTCCAATTCCTCAAAGAATCTCTGCTAGCCTGCCCCCCCTCCATCCCCTCCAATTCCTCAAAAATCTCTGCTAGCCTGCCCCCCTCCATCCCCTCAATTCCTCAAAGAATCTCTGCTAGCCTGCCCCCTCCATCCCCTCCAATTCCTCAAAGAATCTCTGCTAGCCTGCCCCCTCCATCCCCTCCAATTCCTCAAAAAATCTCTGCTAGCCTGCCCCCTCCATCCCCTCCAATTCTCAAAAGAATCTCTGCTAGCCTGCCCCCTCCATCCCCTCCAATTCCTCAAAGAATCTCTGCTAGCCTGCCCCCCTCCATCCCCTCCAATTCCTCAAAGAATCTCTGCTAGCCTGCCCCCCGTCCATCCCCTCCAATTCCTCAAAGAATCTCTGCTAGCCTGCCCCCTCCATCCCCTCCAATTCCTCAAAGAATCTCTGCTAGCCTGCCCCCCGCCATCCCCTCCAATTCCTCAAAGAATCTTTGCTAGTTTACCTTGCAATTCATCGCCTTCTTCTCGATGTCTTGTTGTGCTCTATTCAGTCGTAAACTAATTGTAGGCAACGAGACGCAAGAGGAAAGTAGAGCGATTACCGTAGCGGTTGTCGAGATCGAGAGCGCGATACGATAGGCGGTGGCACGGTCTTTCATTTGGCTAAAATGGGATTGAAAAGATATACTTGATAGAATAGACTACTGGATTGAAAAGTTGAAAAAAATTTTCCTTTCGATCGAAAACTCCCAAAAACTTTCGACGCGAGAGTTGGCATGTGAATAAAAAAACAATAGCATCGTTTGTTTTGCTTCGCGAAAGAAGGCCAAGTGGGAAAGGAGAAGCCTAACTTTTCAGCTCCAGTTTTACCCATTTTTTGAAACATTTTTATTGCTTTCTTATAGTTTTGGCGTAAGGCTATGACATGTTGATTTAATTTTATTGTGCTAGTTTTTGCACAATATTAAAAATCGTTGAGGAAGCGGGATTACCCCACCTACTTGTAAAATAGCACAAATTGCTAAGGAAAGAAATGTTGAAAATAGAAATCTATTTTTAAAACGGATGCACAGGGCGTCTCCGAAAAGGAAATGCGCTACCAAAAACTGGAGCTAGAAAAGTAAGCCCGAGGCCTACTTTGATGCGATCTCTTTGCCTGAATCCAGTACCCCCAAAACCAGATCAAAATCGGCCTCATTTCCCTCTCGAGCCCCGTTTGTTTTCGCTGGCGATTAGGATTTATGGATGTGGATGGAATTTGCTGAAAAACAAAGTTCAAAACAAGCAAAACTACAGTCTTCAACGTTTGTAAAATGTTAGAAAAACTACCGCGGAATTAGCATAAAACCGATTGGTTTGCCCCAAATTTGCATAAAATTATTTGAAATATCGAAAGTGAGCTAAAAAATTTCCCCACTTCACTCTGCCAGTTTGCCATCAGACGGTAGGTTTTTCGGCTTTTTTTGGTTATTTTTTAAAGGAGCATTGAAGCCAAAAATTCATCAATTTCTAGGCAAAATGGTGGTTATGTGGCCGGCGCTTCTCCTGCTGCTCCATCTCCATCATGCCGTCGATGCTCAATGTGGGGAAAGCTTGGATTTTAGGGCAGGCTGGCAGCGATTCTTGGGAAAGGCCGCTTTAGAAATTATGCACTGAAATAAGCGTTTTTGTAAGGGCAGGCTAGCAGAGATTCTTTAGGAACCCTAGGGCTCGAACAACTTAATAAGAAGCATAGATTCCAGGGATAGCTAGCAGAGATTCTTTGGGGAAGAGGACACTGAAAAATCCGGTTTTGGGGCAGCTAGCAGAGATCCTTTGGGAAATCCGCCTAATCGCTCTCATTTAGCTGTACCTCCAAGAACCGTTGCGCCTGCAGCGCCGGCGTCTCCGGCGAACGTTTCATCGACGTCTTCAAAGGCTTCGGTGGCTTCGGTGACTTCGACCGCTTCGACGGCTTCAACTTTTACGACGGTTTCGACCACAACACCCTCTACAAGCTCTTCCACGACTGCGAAAGGTTCATCGTCGCCTACTACTGCCGCATCCACGACTACGACACGTGTTTCTACCGCGGGAACTTCAGCGGCACCGACATTAGCACGTGAGCGCTTTTTCACGATTTTTCGAGGTGTTGCTGCCCCTTTAAAGCGTCGAAAAAGGTAGACGTCATGAAATTTTTGGGTAAGAGTTTCCTTTCCCCCCCCCCCCCGCAACCGATGGGTCTCAAAGTTGTCGGTATTTTCGCTTATTTTGTCGGGATTTTTGCAACGCCATTCGATAGAGCGTCGAAAAATATTTTAAGAGTTTTAATTTGAGCTTACAATAATGTAAAATAAAAAAGTTATAGCCAAAGTCTTCCGGCTGGGGGTGGGGGGGGTAAAGGAAACCGTAGCCAATTTTGTGGGCCGCAGCGGTGCGGCGCGACTGCTAGACGTTCAAGTTAACAGATTACTGGCCACCGAGTCGCGTGAAAGCGGCGCGTCCGCGTTGCGTGTCTGTTTCTCGGGTCCCCAGAGATACGCGCGGCGACCACAAGGCACCCATTTTACTTAGCTGTCGCTGTCCCTTTAAAATATCGGAAAACATGGATGTCACGAAATTTTTGGTCCGTTCCGCCGTCCAGGGCTAGCTGTACGCAACAATTTTTGAACGCGCCGCATGCGCGTTGCGTGCCGTTTTATCTGGCCTTTAGCGATACGCGACGCGACCGCAACGCACCGACCTCCTAGCCGTCGCTGTCCCTTTAAAAGAAGACAAAATACGCGACGTGAGAGTCACGAAATTTTTTGTTCGTCCAACGCTAGCTGGCCGCAGCGCGTTTTCGACGCGGCGCGGCTGCGTTGCGTATCCTTTCCTATATTCTCTAGCGATACGCGACGCGAACGCAACGCTACGGCGATTCGTTCAACCCCAATTTCAGGCTGCAACGGCGACGACGTGGCGTGCCCGGCGGCCAATGGAACTCAAGTGTGCACCCCGATCGACCTGATGCTCAACAAGACGACCTGTGAAATTCGAGGTTGGGGGATAACTCAAAAATCGGGTCGGAATTTATTTTTAGGCTGTCCGAAAGGCCAGGCCCCGATCCACGTGGGAACGAATCAGACGTTGACCTGCGTCCCGCTGACAATACTCAGCGGTGGACTGTTGCCGTCGATGTGGCAGTTTGCCGGTAAATTTGGTTCTAGACGGTTAGCGGGGGAGTGGATCTAGAGGAAGTGGAAAAGTTACCCACCTCGTAAAATACGTTTTAAAGTATTTTCAACAGTTTTTAGCTACTAAATAGGGCTTGACATTGGTGCTGGACTATTAGCGGGGGGGGGAGGGGAAGTAATTTGTGTCCATGTGTTGGACCATTTAATTTATTTAATAATAAATAATATATTTCTATGACGTTTTTAGCATTTTTTTAGTGCTAGAAACGACTAAATATCTCTTTGAACAATTGAAAATTTTGGCTTTTTAGGTCGTTTCATACAATTTTTCCGAAAAATGGAAATTCTGGAAATTTTTATAAGTTCTTTTAGGAGTTTTTTACATCTAAAACCGTGCGAAATATAAAAATGGTTTTAGGTTGCGTTACAGAGCCATAGAGAATCACAGGGAAAAATTTTGTTTCCCCGCGGCTAAAAATTCCTCGCCCCTGCTAAGAGTCCAGTTTTCCTGGCGTTTTCAAGTGCCATTAACGACAGTGTACTGTCCTCCTTTTCAGCCTGCTCGACGATGCAGGGATACCTGAACTGCGGTGGCGAGTGGCCGATATGTGTGGGCGGCCGGAAAGTGATTTCATACAGCAACGGGACGTGTACCATGCCGGGTACGGTAGCTTCTAGATTATTTTAAGGCTAGAGAAAAGGCCATAGCGGACCTTGCAGGAGTACAGGACCTCGTTTTTATAGATTTCGACATGCAAACAAACATTTAGCCCTCCGATTTCCGCTTCTTAGAATGCCCCAACCAGCCCGGCTACCACCAATGTGCCGTGAACTCGACGAAACGCGTCTGCCTCCCCCATGCCATCCTATCCAACCTGCAGGGCGCCGATTTGTGCTCCGTCACCAATCCCGCTAATATTACAGGTGTGGTTCTCTCTCTTTCTCGCTCTCTCTCTCTCTCTCTCTCTCTCTCTCTCTCTCTCTCTCTGTGTCTCTCTCACTCTCTGTCTTTCTCACTATGTCTCACCCACTCTCTCGTTCTCTCTCTCCCTCTCACTCTCTGTCTTTCTCACTATGTCCCAGCCAATCTCTCGTTCTCTCTCTCACTCTCCGTCTTTCTCACTATGTCTCTCTCTCTCGTTCTCTCTACCTCTCTCGCTGTCCCTCTCTCTTTCGCTCAGTCGCTCTCTCTCTCGCTCTCTCTCTCTCACTCTCTGTCTCTCTAATTCACTCGCTTTTCAGTCCTCCACCCTCCAGCACCCAACTGCCTCCCCTACAAAGATACGGTGGCCTGCTCGAACTCGAACGGGACGCAGTACGCTTGCGTACACTACACGCAACTGGCCAACGTGTCCGGCGGCGGCTCCGCAGGGCTCCAGTGTACGGCGACTGGTCGGTTTTGTAGTAACAGTTCAGTAATATCTTTTTTGCAGAGTGTAAAGCCGCCGGCGAGCTGTTCTGCAACGGGACATGCCTAAACGTGGACGACGTGGTCGCGGTGGGCCCGGACGGGCAATGTAGATGTAGGAAAATGACCAATTTCAGGCCCTAACCTTACCCAATTACAGTACACCCCAAGCCACAACCGGAGCCGGCCAACGCACCGGAGGTGATCGTGAAAAAACGTGGGTTTCTAGCTGTCACTCTCCCTTTAAAAGCAATTTAGCAAAGGCGGCCCAGATGCACGCCGACTACACGGCCGTCAACATTCTCATCATGGTCTTTTTGGGGATTCTGGCGCTTCTCGCCGTGCTGGCTGTCATCGTGTATTTTGGTGGGTGGCTAGCAGAGATTCTTTGAGGAAATGGAGGGGATGGACGGGGGCAGGCTAGCAGAGATTCTTTGAGGAATTGGAGGGGGTGGAGGGGGCAGGCTAGCAGAGATTCCTTGAGGAATTAGAGGGGATGGAGGGGGCAGGCTAGCAGAGATTCGTCGAGAATTGTTTAGCGTCAGAAGGCCACCTTTTTCAGCGCTGAAACGATCCGCGAAGAACAAGAAGAAAAAGAAGAGCACCAGCTCGGAACACACGTACGGCTCCGATCCGGAACCGCCGGTCAAAAAGAAGAAGTGCACCAAGAGTGGGGAATTCAGAATTATAGAAATTTTTGAATTTTTCAGGCGACAAGGAGGACAATCTCGACCCGGCGTTCCTGACTATCATTGTAAGATCATTTTTTTTCTCACTCTCTTTCTCTCTCTCTCTCTCTCTCTCTCTCTCTCTATCTCATACTCTCTATCTCATACTCTCTATCTCATACTCTCTCTCGTGCTCTGCCTCTCTCTCTCTATCTCTCTTTCTCTGTCTGTCTCTCTGGTTGTCTCTCCCTCTCCCTTTCTCTCTCACTCCCTTTAATTTTACCGTTTTCAGGACGACAAGGCGAGCCACGCGGCGTCGGCGATACGCTCCACCCACTGAACGCCATCGATTACACAGCAATACCATCCACAAAAACGGGCTACTTTTTTTCTCTGCCCTCTCCACCATTGCCCACTATCTATCCCCCATTCGGTCTCTATCACTTGTTGTATCTCGTGTGCTCATTTCGCTTGCATCTGCTGCTGCTCTGTGCTGTTCCCCACCCATCAGGGTCGTTTGTCAGAATAAATGTGGATTTTTGTTGCTTGAAGAACTGCCATAGGCCTGGAAAGCGGTCTTAAAGGGACTGGCAAGGCTGTACGATGCCCGTTTTTGATGTTTGGGTAAGCGTCCTGAATTTATTTTCCGCGTCCGCGCGTACTTGCTCTCCGTCGAGAAGAGTACGTAATTGGTTACGAAATGGAATTGTAACCATAGGCCTATCCTAAGCCTAACCTAAGCCCAAGCTGAAGCCTAAGCCTGGGCCCAAGTCTGCCTAAGCCCAAGCCAAACCTTAATCCTAAGCCCAAGCGTATCCTAAGCCCAGGCTTAAGCCCAAGCTTATCCTAAGCCTAAGCCTAAACCTAACCTAAGCCTGAGCCTAAACCTAAGCCCAAGCTGATGCCTAAGCCTACTCTTAGCTTAAGCCTAAACCTAATCCGACGCCTAAAGTTAAGCCTAAGCCTACCCTAAGCCCAAGCTTGGGCCTAGGCCTAAGCCCAAGCCTAAGCCTGAACTTAAGCCTAAGCCTAAGCCCAAACCTAAGCCTAAGCCTAAGCTCACATGGCTATCCATGCGGTCAAGCAGCGGCTGATTCCACGCTGACTTGCATAGATATATATTTATTCCACGCGCCCCGGCGGGCAATCTCGGGATCGAAACCCATAAATAGTTTTCTAACGTCGTGTGCCGTCCTCGAAAAAAGATGCCCCCATCGATGGCACAGTACTTGGGGCAGATGCCCATTTCTCCAAGCGCTCCGTCCTTTCCGGAAGTTCCGTCTGTGCCGGCTTTTCCGGGGTTGCCTGGAGCGCCGGGAGGGCCCTGAAATGGTAGAGTCATCTCGGGCAAGCTAGCCAAGTGCCTTGGGGAAATTCGGTTCTAAAATTTATTTGAAACTTGTGAAAAAGCTGGCTTAAATTTTTTATTAAAAACCCTGTATAAAACTTAAAGTTTGGTAAAGTTACGGTCTTGTAATATAATTTTGTACTTTTGTATTAAATAAAAATTTAATTGTAACGTTTGTAATACAAAAAATATCGATTTTTCGAGCAGAAATGGCGCTTTTTGAGCAAAATTCCCAATTTTTGAAAACATTTTGAAAGTTTTTAGATAGTTTTTCCGGTTAAAATATAGATTCATTTTCCTAAGAACATTATGAAGATACTTCCGATTAAGTGACTAAGCATTTCTAACTTATTCAAAAAACTGTCTCCCCCCCGGTAATGGGAAAGAACCAAAAAGCCCTGTAACAGATCGTAAACTTGATTAAAAATGACGGTCTCGTAATTAGCTAGCCTCTGGATAGTAAATCGTGCTATTCCAGCAATCCCAAAAGATACCTGCTAGCACCCTTGGTAGCCTCTTTAAAGCTCTCACTCACCGGCGGTCCAGGCGGCCCGATCGGTCCAGCACCATGATGCATCCCGGGCATACCGTCGTGTCCCTTCGGTCCATCTGGTCCAGCTCCTCCTGGTGCTCCAGCCACCGCCGGCATCGGGCTGCCCATCTCGGCATCCGTGCCGGGCGGACCTGCCTGCCCGGGCGCTCCTGGCATTCCCGGGTTTCCGGATGGACCTTTCGGACCGGCCATCCCGGGCTGACCGTCTCCTCCTAAAAATCGTAACAAAGACAGCGAAGTTCATAGGAAAAGGAAAAAAATTCCCCCTGAGTTACCCTACCCACCCCCCCCGTTAACAGAGAAGCTCCCCAAAACCGTGTAAATTTTACAAACCTGGCGCTCCCATACTTCCCGGCATGCCGTCCGACCCGGGCGGGCCAGCGGGGCCCATGGGCCGAATTCGGGACGTTTCCCCGAAAACGATTTCCCCGAAAACCAGTTCCCCGAAAGCCAGTTCCCCGAAAAACCAGTTCCCCGAAAACCAGTTCCCCGAAAACCAGTTCCCCGAAAACCAGTTCCCCGAAAACCAGTTCCCCGAAAACCAGTTCCCCCGAAAACCAGTTCCCCGAAAACCAGTTCCCCGAAAACCAGTTCCCCGAAAACCAGTTCCCCGAAAACCAGTTCCCCGAAAACCAGTTCCCCGAAAACCAGTTCCCCGAAAACCAGTTCCCCGAAAACCAGTTCCCCGAAAACCAGTTCCCCGAAAACCGGGGTAAAACTCGTGGACCCCCGAAGGCCGGCCACCGTTGGGAAACCGATGTGCAACAAGGACTATGCGATCGATACGGGGAATTCACACCGACGGAGTTCTGCGAATTAATTGCCAAGAGTCTGGACTAATCTTAATCGTGGAACCCGAGATTAATCTTATGTCTGTATTGTGATATACGCGCCGTGCCTCATGCTGATTCGAATAAACCAGTTACATATGACGTTGGATCCAAGTAACTTTTTCTGACCTTTCCATGTCTGATTTTCCGACAAAGATTTCGATGCCGGCTTTGATTTGAACCGATCTTCGGGGAACTGGTTTTCGGGGAACTGGTTTTCGGGGAACTGGTTTCGGGAACTGTCGGGGAACTGGTTTTCGGGAACTGGTCTCGGGGAACTGTTTTTCGGGGAACTGGTTTTCGGGAACGACTTTCGGGGAACTGGTTTTCTGGGAACTGGCCTTTTCGGGGAACTGGTTTTCGGGAACTGACTCGGGGAACTGGTTTTCGGGGAACTGGTTTTTTTCGGGGAACTGGCTTTCGGGGAACTGGTTTCGGGGAACTGGTTTTCGGGAACTGACTTTCGGGAACTGGTTTTCGGGGAACTGTTTTTCGGGGAACTGGCTTTCGGGAACTGGTTTTCGGGAACTGGTTTTCGGGAACTGGTTTTCGGGGAACTGACTTTCGGGGAACTGGTTTTCGGGAACTGACTTTCGGGGAACTGGTTTTCGGGGAACTGACTTTCGGGGAACTGGTTTTCGGGGAACTGACTTTCGGGGAACTGGTTTTCGGGAACTGACTTTCGGGGAACTGGTTTTCGGGAACGACTTTCGGGGAACTGGTTTTCGGGAACTGGTTTTCGGGGAACTGGTTTTCGGGGAACTGGTTTTTCGGGGAACTGGCTTTCGGGGAACTGGTTTTCGGGGAAATCGTTTTCGGGGAATCGTCAAATACCCCCATGGGCCCAGCTGGGCCCATCGGACACGGCTTGCATGGTGGTGGTGTGACAGGCTCGCAGGGCATCTGCGGTCCTTTTCCGGGCATGCCGGGCATACCGGGCGCCCCGGGTTTTCCGTGGGGCCCATTCTTGCCGGCAGGGCCACCGGCACCCGCCGGGCCTGGGCGGCAGCAGGAGGCTCCGCAGGAACCGCCGGAACCTGAAAAACTGTTTTCTAAGTTCTAAAAAAAATTCTTACCTCCAGCTGCAGCGTTTCCGGTTGATCCTTCGGAAGCAGCTCCACCGGTTGGTGCCTGGATTTGGTGGTTTAAAGGGATCAGGAAGACCGAAAATAAAACGTGCTTTAGTTCGAAAAGTGCGTTAGTTTCGCTCGCCTTCTTTCGAAATTAAAAGATTTTAGCTGATTTTTCGCTTAGAAAGCGATTCAATTAAACGTTAACGTCTAAAGCTAAGCGGAACAAGATGGTTAAAAGATAGTGCTGTACGTTTAAACCCTATCAACCTGAGCCTGCGCTTCTCCTGCTCCCGCTCCTCCTCCAGCTCCTCCTTGCTCGTACTGACGCTTGACCCTCGTCAAAATCCTGGCATCAAGAATCGGCTGGTCCCGCAGCTTCGTCACGCCCACCCAGATTTCCGATGCCGAATCCTGAAATTTATTGAGTTTTTAGAAGCTAAAACACAAAACCTAAAATCAAAATTCAACTTCAAATCCACGAACTTTGCAGTATTTTATATCAACGGTCAGGTCGCGCTTCGACAGCGACACGTAGTTGTACACCATCGGCAGCGTCACGCAGATGGATAGGATTGACACTAAAATTATACATAAAACATAAAACTCGTCGAAATTTGTAAAAAATCATTAGAAAGCCCACCGGCGCCGAACGCGATCGCCGAGTAGGCGACGATTTTGTAGGCGGCGTTCTTGTGGTCCAGTTCCATACCGTAAAAATAGAATTTTGGGGTTTGAAGACCTATTAAAAGGCCGTTTGCGGCAGGACCGAAATAGGCTTGGCACAGTTTTTTTCGACCCTGTTTTTTTGACGCCATGGGATAGAGCATGATCGAATTAGTGGGGCCATATAGTTTTGAAAGTTTAAAAAGTTGATTTTTGGGGTTTAACGGGCCGTTAAAGTTGCCGACATCGAAAACCTATCTCGAAAGTTACTGGACCAAACTTGCTGAAAATTTGTGACAATACCTAATTTGGGATGGAGATCATTTCTCTAATACATTTCAAAACTTGAAAATGGCCGGAACATAGGAATCTCGCGTACTAAAAACAGTTTTTCAAGATTTTCTACCTAATGGGAAATCGGCGGCATCCTGGAAATAGCATAGAAAGATGCGCCAATTTTTTCTACGTTGAATGATGTGTTTTTTTAGGATGCCGCCGTTTTCCCATCATCCGTAAAAACGGCATTTTCTTGATGAAAAAAAGAAAAATATCCAGGTTTTCAAACGGGGAGCCATCCACTTGCTTCTAGAAGCGCAGCCAAGTCAATTGCAAAAAAGAGCAAAAAGAAATTCGGTTTCTAACAGGGGGCTGGGATTGAACTCGGGTCGTTCGCCTGGGAGGTGGCAGCGCCCTCTAGCCTCTTTCCCCAGAGCCCCCCAGGCGGACCATCGCGGGTTCGATTCCCCTCCGTATTCAACTTCGCGTAGATGAGGAATTTCATTTTGCTCTTTTTTGATAATGGGTGGCATTGATCTCTAGATGCTTTCCGCAATCCGTTATATTTCTCATTCTCAGCCCCCGATCTTCTAAGGCCACTTTTGTTCATTCCAGAGATCACGACTTTTCTAGATGATGGGAAAACGGCGGCATCCTAAAAGACACATCATACGATGTAAAAAAAAATGGCGCATCTTTCTATGTTACTTTCAAGATGCCGCCAATTTCCCATTAAATAGAAAATCTTAAAAAACTGTTTTTAGTACGCGAGATTCCTATGTTCCGGCCATTTCCAAGTTTTGACATATATTAGAGAAATAATCTCCATCCCAAATTAGGTATTGTCACAAATTTTCAGCCAGTTTGGTCTAGTAATTTTCGAGATAGGTTTTCGATGTCGGCAACTTTAACGGCCATTTAAACCCCAAAAATAAACTTTTTAAACTTTCAAAACAATGCCACCCTACTAATTCGGCCACGCTCTTTCAGATGGGATCATAAAAATAGGGTCGAAAAAAACTGTGCCAAGCCATAATGGGAACAGTTCGAGTGACTGGCGGACGGCCTTTTAATATCAAAGACTCTATTTAGGCATTGGTCTTCAGAGTTATCTAAAAAAGTGATCACAATGCATTAATGCTTTAAGAAAGCTTATTGAGCAAGCAAAAGAAAATGAAACCCATGCGAAGCGAGCAAAAAGAAAATGAACTTTAGTCATAAAGTGACCGATAAAGAAAAGAACACAGGTTTTTCTATAGTCCTAATGCTAGTGCCAGCTTTCGTATGTCAACTTCTTTTCTGCAGCTACTTTTATATCCCGCCAACGACGCTACCAGATCCAAATCGAGGCCGGCCCCTGGACTCGGATGGCAACGCCCGACACAAAACCACTCCCCGATCTTCATCTGCAATGGCATTCACACCCCTTGGAGCCCGTAAAGTCAAGCAACTAGTAAAGTATCAGGTTGTATAATACGTTCGGTCACAATTTTGTGGAATCACGGCGCGCCCAAATTGACAATGTGATATACCGTTTGATAGGACTCATCGAGCTCTACTTCGGGTAGACGCACCCCCAGCACCCAAAAATTGAGGGGCGCCAAGCTAGAGCTTCCAGAAAATGTTTCGCAAAATTACGCAAAAGTATTTTCGCACGTGATCTCTGCGTGGCGTGATTTGCATGCGATACCATTGGCACGGATCGATAGCTCTAGAGAAGTCGATATCAATAGATGTTGAAATCGTCAAAAAAATGGCCACCGGATGACCGAGACACGGCCGCATGAAATTTGGCCCATCTCTTCGAACTTTTCCTGAAATCCTCCGAATCAATGCCGAAAAATCTATTCCCAACATTATCACAAGTAATGACAACATACAACACAAAACCTGAAACGATGACACATGACACAGCAACGATGCAACAATTACACAAAAAAACAATAGCCGGCAAACAGGCTAGTCGAAATAGTCCTCCAAGTCGATGGCCGGCTCAAGGAAGTCGTCCTCGATGTCCTCCATGTCCGTCTGGTTGAGGATGAGGTTCTCGAACACCTGAAAAAGAGCCATTTATATAGGTTTTCTTCTCCGCAAAGGATTATCAAATGAAACAGCAGTATTTCGGTACCGCTGTCAAAAAAATTTAAGCAAAAACCGACCTCCTCGAGCTCGGTCTCCCCGATCAGCACCGCTCCCTGCATCCGGTGGTCGTGCATTACGCAGCGCACCAATTGGCCGTCCGTGATGATTCTAAAAAACAGTGCTATCTTAGGCCAAAAAATTACCTTTCATTAATGTACCATCCGGGCGGCTGATTCTTGGCCTGGAAGTCGCCGAGCAGGACAATCTAGGGATGGAAGATTAGAAGGCAAATGTGAAAATTACTACCTTATACCCGTAAAACGTCGTGCAATGCGCAAACAGCTCGAAGCAGAAGCCGCCGAGGTCGGTGGCCCCGGAGCAGGATTGACCTGCGCAGTCGCCCATTTGACGCGCTTGCGTCCACGTGCGAATCTGGAAAAGAGGGGCTGGATGGTAGGCTAGCAGAGATTCTTTGCAGGATCGGCACGTTAAACAAAGTTAAAAATCGAGCAACCGCTTTCTAGATCTGTAACTTTTTCTAATCGGGATGGTCGTAAAATTTAACTATATTTTTATAAGTGAAAATACAATAAAAAATGTGCAAAAAATGGTTCTTTGAAATTTGGCCAAAAATCGTCGACATTTTTTGCCTTTTTAACAATTTTGTAAAGTTTTTACGCTTAGGAATGGCAAAAATAATTTAGAAACACTTGCCCTAATTATGTTAAACAATTGAATGCGTAAAAAAAAGTTGGTCCACCCCGATAGTGCGAAAGAACCCGAAATGTTTCTTGCAAAATTCGTCGAGGGCCTAAAATCATCAAATTCTAGCTAATTTCTCATTGGATCTCATCCGAAAATTGCTACAAATTTCGCTTCAGCGGAAAATCAGAATTTATTTACAGGAAAAATCTTCAAAGCCAGAAAAAATTCACCAAAAGACCGATTTTCACTTTTCAATATATTGCCCAAATTGATACCTGACTCCAATGGCGGCTCGGCACCCAGCCGGCCGTACAAACATCGCCGCATGCCCAGATGCCGGGTAGGGAAGTGGCCATCGTCTCGTCCACCAGGATCCCGCCATCCTCAGCCAGTTTCAACTAAATCAAGATATAAAATTTAGAAAATAAAAAGCTTACCCCAGGATGTCTCCATAGCTCGCTGTTCGGCGTGACCCCCGTCGCCCATATCGCCATGTCGACCTAAATAATTTTCTTGGTAAAACTGAGATATTTTACCTCTATCGCCTCACCGTTTGATAGCCTCAAAACCAGGGAGTCGGCCTTCTCCTCTACTGCCTCCACCTCGACGCTGGGCACCACACGGATGTTGTGGCCCTAAAAATGTGCCACGGTACTTTTGCTTTATGGGGGGGGGAGGGGGAGTTTATTGAAAGAAGCCGAATGTTTTTCACAAATCAAGGTAGGCCCAGCAATGACATATTAAAAATTCTAGCGATTTTTTACTCATTTAGGTCCTATTTAGAGGAAATAAACGATCAAAATAAACGTAGAACGAGGTTATAAAATGCGGAATTTTGGCCAAAAACTAATATTTAGCTAGAAAAATCGGTATTATGAATTTTTGAAAGAGCTGGTGATTTTTTGCAAATTTATTAAATTTAACTTTCCTCATTTTTAGCTTTATTTGAAGCAACTAAAATATCAAAAAAAAGTTAAAAAACCGCTTGAAAATGCCATAAAAACCGACCGCCGCCGCACCCTTCAGCTGCACCACCGTGCTCCAATCGGGCCCAAGCGCGCAACCCGGTGCGCTCGACGACGTTGAAGAACCCGCCTCGGAATCGCAGAATTTCGGGCGACGAACAGGCTAAAATCATATTTAGAGGAACCGTTCTATCAAAACCTCATCATTCTTGTCACCGGCTTCTCGACCTTTCTCCGCACGTCCATACAGAAACGCCGCCGTTTCTGCGTCAAAGTACGCTGCCGAGATGTGCGCGTCGCGTATACACCACGTGATGTCGACGTCGCGGAGCTCGAAACTAAAAAAACAACGCTGATTTGAAGCGGAAAAACGTACACTAGCCGATTTAATTTCATAGTTCTTTCGCATTTTTGGGGGGGGAAACCGAGTTTTTTTAAGGATCTCATTTTTCTGATATATATCGAGGGACTGTTCCAGACTGTTTCATACTACATCTAAACTTAAAAACTTCAAAAATTTAATTAAAAATGAAAAAAAGCGATGTTTCGACCAAAATGGCCGATTTTCGATCAAAATATCTACGTTTCTATCGTTTTTCCACGAAAAAATATAGTTAATTTTAACAAAAACAGCATTAAACGCATAATATTACGTTACTAAACCTTTCCAGTCTTATAGAAAAAGTTGGTCCCACGGATAATGCGAAAGAACCCATCCAAACCATTAATTTCATGCTATAAAATTAATTTCAAGTAAAACCCCTACATAATTTCCGTGGCAATTCCCCCATTGCCAACCACGGCCACTCGTTTCGCGCCGGCCAGCCGCTGCTCGAGTTGGCGGGCCGTTTCCGTGTCCCGTATCGTCAGTATCCGGCCGACTTCTGGGTAGGGATTCTGAAATTGAAAATAAAAACAAATTCTGAAACGTAACCTTTGGCCGGGCGCCCGTCGCAATTACCAAATAGTCGAATGGCACATGGGAGCCGTCGCCCAGTTCTAGGTCCTAAATCATCGTTGTAAACCCAGAAAACTAAATAGGCTACCTTGTTTTCATAGCTCCACGCGATCACGGCTCCCTCAACGACGCTGATCGGCTCGCCAACGAACGACAACCCGACCTCCTTCACGTCGAACAACTCGGTGAATTGGCCGACCTAAAAAAGTTAAAATACGTAAAAACGATACGTACACGAAACCAGTTATGAACGCTCTTGACGTGGGGCCCGGCGGTGATCAGAATTACCTAAAAATGGTGGTAGGTGACGTTGACAAGTAGACTTTTTGAGTGTCCACGGAGCTTCGAAATGTGACCAAGCCTATTTTGTGTAGAATTTTTCGCTGCACAAAACCTGGTTTACAGAATTTGTGAAACGACCATAACAAGATAGTTAAAACACACCACAGATGGCCATTTAAGGGAATTTTTCACACTCTAAAACTTCGCAACTTTTCAAATATGGTCGCTTCGCAGATTCTGAAAAGTATGTTTTGATCAGCAAAATATTCTGCACAAAGTAGGCTTGGCCCCATTTCGAAACGCCGCAGACACTCGAAAACGCCTCCTTGTTAGCTAGCGCAAAACGTGAAAAGCGTGAAAACAAACCTCGTGTTCCTCGTCTAGGTATTGGCGTAGCGCCCGGACGCAGGAGACGCCGGCAACGCCACCTCCGGCAACCACATACCTCATTCTGAAAGCAAAATAACTTCTAGAGCTAAGCTAGAAGCGCAAGTTCTTCAGTTTTATGAAAAAGCTACCCAGTATTATAAGGCAAACGTAAGTTCAAAGACACGCCTATACACCGTCATAAAAAATCCAACTCAAAAACTGTATATCTTCGCATTACTATCGTATAAATGTCGATCAGCCCCCGAGAACAATCACGTAAGTTTTAACTTTATTTGCCAAGAATCACGTTGAAGGAAGTAATGATCGTAATAACCTGAGCCGCAGCCCGGGCATGGGAATACACGCTCGAGAACAAAACGATACCGGGGTACGCGGAGAGAAGGGCTCATATTAGAATAAATATCACAAGAAAGACAAGGAAACATTAAAAAAGAGAAAGGGAAATGATTTAGGGGAACGTGACATCATCGAGTTTTTTGTAGCCGTCCTTGTCGATGAGCACGAGGTGGTAGCCGGAGAGGTTGGCGACAAAGCGCTTCTTCGCCTCTTGTAGACACTTCTTCAGAAGGGCCACGCCAGCTTCTGTGTTCATCTGAAAAACGGAAGTTAGGAAGGCCAGAATATAAAAAAAAGATTCTCTCCCATTATCAAGGGGGATAAAACTTCTTTATACAAGTTTTTAAATGTCTACCAACTTAATAAGAAGTGTTTACTGGTGTTTTTAGTAAAATATAACTGTAATTTAACTCGAACTATCGAAAAAACTTGAACGTCCAAATTTTGTTAAAAAATGGCTATTTTTGGTCGTAAATCGATATTTTTGACATTTTTCGATCAAAATTTTGTAGTTTTCTCGTTTAGGAATATTAAAAAACGTTTAGAAACACGAGATCTATTTAAATTTGAAAAATTAGATCCTAACAAAGAAGCCCCCGATAATGCAAAATAACCAAAATAAATCTTGAAAATACCCAGACATGGCAATTCCGATCGGCCGAGCCGCGCGGCCGGGCCGGCGGCCTAATTTCCATAAAAAACGCGGCCCCCTACGAGCCGCCGTAATCAGCTACTTCAGGAAACGCGGCTTCGCGGCCGAGCCGCATTTTCATCGCGGCTCGGCCGGGCCGCCGCGGCCAAGCCGCAAACCGGAAGTAGCTCTTCTACATACCAAAAATCCGCGAATGTGATGCGAAATGGCAATGGAAATGAGAAAATTAAGGTTGTCGAAAATAAATCCTCCTCGTTAAAGGTACACTAAAGCCTCGTTGGTTTGGTTACCGGCCGGTAACCGTCCGCGGAATAGCAAACAGGGTTACGGTAGGTGCTCGCCGCGGAGCAAAACCGAACCCGCGCCACTCGCCTAGGGCGAGCGCTTTAGACCACTAGGCCATGGGACAGACGGGAGAGGGGAGAGGGAAGGGGGATAAGAAGGATCCGGGCGTTGCGCGGCAGAGGGCCGGGATTTCCGACCGCGAACTGACTTTTTGCACGAGATTTTAGTGTACCTTTAACAAGCTAAACACCCATTACATCTCGGATTTGCGTACCGGAAGTTCTCAAAACTCATTTAGATGCGGCCTTAAAAGCCGCGCGGCTTGGCCGCCGTGCGGCCTCAAAACACAAAAAAGCCGCGGCCGCACCGGAAGTGCGGCCAAGCCGCGCGGCCCGGCCGCATGCTAATTTTTGCGGCCGAAAAAGCCGCGCGGCCCGGCCGATTGCCATGTCTGAAAATACCCACATCAGCGCGGTATTCACGGTCCATGATGGCGTACGAGAATCTGCCGGGGAAGCCGCGGAAGAGGTAGGGTTGTCCCATCACGCCGTTGCCGAGGTAGTCGATCGAGCCGAGCAGGGCGCGCTTCTCGCTGTCGTCGTAGCCGCCGATCAGCACATCCACCGTGTAGTGGTCGCGGGAGCGCAGCGAGTCGGCGATCGACTTGCGGATCCAGTGGAATGCGGGCCGCGGCGACGAGCTCGTGTATCCATTTCTGAAAAAAAATGTTGAGAAAGCCGTAGAGAAAGAGCTTCTTCTATACTTTTCAAAAGTTTTTAGTAATAAAAACGTTACAAACGCTCGAAAATCTTGGTTTACTGGCTCAAACATATGAAAAATGGGCGTAAGTGAGCAGAAACGGCAACGATAAAAAGTCTGTTTAAAATCACCTCAAACTGTACAGCCTCATGTTGCGCAGGGTCCAGTCGCCAAACTGGTCGACGTCCCCGTCTTCTCCAATGCACATCATCGTCGACTTGGTGCCGATGCGGAACTCCTTGTCGCTGTCGTTGTCGACGACGACGGCGCCGTAGGCGAAGCTGGCCTTGTCGCACGCGAGGACCACGTAGTCCTTGGTACAGATGCCCGCGAGGAAGTGCATGCCCGCCATTTTGACACTGAAACAGAGGTATTACCGAAATGAAATGAATATTAGGGAAAACGGGCGTCAAATATGTAAATCGGTCTACATTCCAAAAAATCTTGTAGGATTCTGCAAAGAAACCTTGAAAAAGAAATCACAACTTCGAGCGCGCTCGTTCCGCGCAAAACTGCGGCAACGGTAGAAGGCTATGCGTTTCCACTGAACTTTTCAGGATTTCAAAAAGACTACTTTTAGAAGTTTAGGAGATCAAACAGGGCAAATTTATACAAACTTTATAATTCGAATTTGCAGGATAGAATGCCAGCGAAAAAACAACACAAAAAGGATAGCTTAGAATTTCGAAAGTGCGTTTTACTGAACTTTTCAGGATTTAAAAAAATACTAGTTTTTAAAAACCTACGCGAATGCCGATGCTGCAGTATAGCAGACCACAAAAAAAAAGCAAGAGCTTCAAACTTCAAGACTATTCGCAAGAAGACATCGGGTGAAAACCGATAAATTTTCCAGAACGATAAGTATTATTACCATTTATTTTATAGACAAACCGAACGAACAAAGCAATAATAAAATGAGACGCGAGATCACAGGCAACGTGGAAAACAAGTAAACACAGCAATAAAGAAATATAAAACGACATCTAGAAAGCTGTTATTCGTCCTGAACCACCTTCTGATTCGTCCACACGTAGATGTAGTTCGAGCTCGCGGATACCTAAAGTGCAATGATCAGGATGTCAAAACAAAACCAACCATTTGCTGCAATTTCGGGTGCGCGACAACAGTATGGACGACCGAGTGCTTGTGCGGCAGCTTGAAGAGCACTTTTCGGTCTATTAAACTAAAAAAGGGGTTGTAAGTTATATAAAGTGCATTTTACTTGTAAATATACGCGTGTCCGTCCTCGCTTCCGGTGGCCACCTGCGCCACCGACGACAGGATGCAGGACCGGAGCATGTAGTCCCGATTTTGGTGGCCCGTATACCTAAACGAAACAGTAGCTTGAAAATCCGAAGCCGCTCACTTTGCCAGCATCTTGCCGCTCTGCTTGTCCATGAGTCGTAGATTGTTGTCAAGTGTCGTCGCGAGAATGCAGTTGCCATCCGGGGTAAACGAGACGGACGTCACTGATTCGCCGAGGTAATCTTCGTGAACCTGGAAAAATAGGGTTCTGATTCGTTATGGGGATAAACTCAGTTTTTCCTATCTTCTTGAGGGTGAAAATGATGAAATTAAAACTATTTTGCCACATTGAGACATTTCGGTATCAGAATCGATGACAAGCTATAAAAAACCATCGAAAACTATTCTTTGTGGTCAAAAATGTATGGAAAATCAACAGATAAGGAACAAGAAAAAAACGACAGAAACTATTTAAAACCCACCACTCCGTCCCGTATGCTGTAATGGCGACAGTGCCCGTCTGCCGATCCGACTGCCAGGTCGTGCCCGTTGACGTCGATGGAGAGCACGGAATCGGTCGCTTCATTCAAGATCTAAAATCATGAATGCCAAAAATGGTGCCAAATTACTTGAATCGGCTTTTCGTTCTTTGTGCGCACGTCGTGGGCGTGAACCGTCGTGTCCATCGAGCCGGAGAAGAGAATGTTCGACTCTTCGTTGTAGCAGAGCACGTTGACTTTGGCTAAAAACAAAAAAAAAAAATAGAATTTAGCAGTTCAACGTATTTCTTTATCAGCTTACAAGGAGTCGCTTTTAGGTGCTTTTGGAGTTTCGGGACGGGACCTAGCTAGTTCGATAGAGAAAAAAATTTTGAGCAACATCCCGTTTTCAAAAAGTGCTGATCGATAAAGCTGTTTTAGAAAATTTAATTTAATTAAAAATGTTCCCGGTGTCCGGACCCTTGTGGTGATTTGAGGTGATTTGCGGCGGTTGACCGCCCCCGCCACATGAGGACTCCACGCGCCTTGGATCCCGTCCTAGGCATGGCCAAGTGGCTAGCGCGATGGCCTACGAAGTTTTTTTTACCTTTTGCCACAAGTTCGATTCTTATTTATCGTTAACTCTTTGCTTTTTGCTAATTAAAATTTTATGCACCGATAACGGGCTCAAGAACCAAAAAGCAAAGGGTTAGCGAGCACGAAGATTCGAACCCGAGGCAAAAAAATGTCAAAAAAGTTGGTAGGCAAGCGCGCTACCAATACGCCAATGCAACCTGTGATGGAGGCATTGGCGGAGGGTTACGAATGGCGCCCTGCCAAGACCCGAAAACCACGTGCACCGAGGAACTGGACCCGAAAACTAGAAAAAAGCGCGAACTTTAAATTAAATTTTCTAAAACACCTTTATCGATCAGCACTTTTTGAAAACGGGATGTTGCTCAGAATTTTTTTCTCTATCGAACTAGCTAAGTCCCGTCCCGAAACTCCAAAAGCACCTAAAAGCGACTCCTTGTTAGAATCTCTTCTTCCAAGTAGACGTTTTTCGTGACAATGTGACAGGGAAACAAGTCAAGCTTCGACAAAATTTTTCGCTATTGTCTAATCAGGCTTCAAAAACTGCGAAACGACACAATTCAAGCAGTTAAGAAGCTGTTAGGTGCGAAAAAGGTCCTCAAATTGCTCAATTTCTAAAAGTTTTCGTCTTTTTTAGCATTGAAAAACGTCATAACTTCCTAAATTTTGTCGTTTCGCAGATTTTGAAACTGCACAAGTTGATCTCGTGAAAACTTTATTGCCACATCTCCTTCTTAGAACCTCAAGGGAATCCTCTACCTCCATGATTTCGATATTTGCGTACGGTCTTCCCGCTCTCCACGTCGATCACCGTCACGCATTTGTCCTGGCCGCCAGCGGCGAGTTGCGAGTTGTCCGATGAAGAAGCCACATCAAGGACCTGCAAAAATTTCATTAGAAACGATTTTCCAAATTACCTCGTTGCCAATGCCCATATATGTGTTGACGTGCGCGGCTGTCACCGGGTTCCACAGCTTGACCGTCTTGTCGGCGCCGCATGTTAGCACGTAGTTGCCGTCCACTAAATTAGGCTTGAAATTTAATGAAATTTTTTATGAAAAATGAATTGTAATCATTGGCAAAAGAACGGAGAAATTTGCCTGGTTCGAATTGTCATCGTGCATTGCTTTACGCGTAGTTCTGTAGGAGACGGAGGGGCAAGGGATAGTGAAAGAGCGGCAAACAGGGGAGGAAACGACAACGAGAGAGAGGCTGTAGACAAGAGGAAAAGGCGAGCCATACGCTACAGCTGATTTTTTTACAAGATTTCATCGAAAAATCAAAAAATAGAGAAAAAGAGCAAAATGACTTATATAAAGCGAAGGGCCTTCTCTACGTGTTTCGCTACACCTACGTCTTCAAACCCACAAAAAGCAAGGTAAATTCCTTTCTAAGAAAGCACTGCCGATTTTTCAGAGACATGAAATCGCAAAAATTAGAAAAAAACTTGGCAGTAAACGCTACGGGCTTGGTATAACCGGCAAAAAACGTATTCGCTCGGATTTTACGCTACGTACCCAAAAAAACGAATTGAAATTCTTTCTAAGGTACTTCTTTGAATACCAACCATTATATTTGACGCTTCTCACCGCCTCCTGATTGCAGTTGATCTTGTTGAGTAGGTATCGTGGCACGGCCTCTGTATCCGGCGTCTCCATCTAAATCCAGCGTAACTTTACAATCAAAATCTTTAGAAAACTTCACAATTAATTTTAAATTATAGCATTATTAAAATAAAACTTCATAAAATTCAAATCTTCAAAGAAAAAACTAAAATATCGATTTATGGTCCCAGAACCATTTATCTGAATGCTCCATTATTCCGTTCCAAAAAGCAATATTTATTTACCAGAATGAACCCGCGCAACAATCGGACCAGCTTATACAGGGCATATCACCTAGCATTAGATTGAGCCTAGACATTATTAAACAAAATCAGAAGCGAACCCGTAGAGAACATGACAACAGGAAAAAGGCGGAAAAGGCAGGTAAGAGGGAATATCACAATTTAAAAATGGTGAAAATGATCTTATTCGAGCGGCATCTCTTTCTGCTCGCTGAGGGCTCGCGGGGAGTGGAGCAGCACGTTGAGTGTGACGCCCTAAAAGTGGGATCTAGGGAATGAGGTAAAATCTGGATACCTGATGGTAGGCCGACGAGACAAAATGCTTGCTTGCAGTGGCGGTCATCGCCCGATAGTACTCACCGGAGCCGAAAATTACCTAAAAACGGAAATATTTGTTCCTTGAGCATTATCGGGGGGCGAATTTTTTTGTATAAGTCTAGAAATACCTACTAACTTAAGAGTAAGAATTTTATGAGTGTTTTCAATTCAATAGAACTGGATTTCAACCAAAAAAAAAGCTAAAAACTTTCCGAAAACTCGAAATTTCAATCCTAAATCTGACGTTTTTCGTCGAAAAATTTATATTTCTATGCCTTTTTAAAAATTTTTTTAAAGTCGTTAGGTTTAGGAATAGCAAAAAAAAAGTTTCAAAATAATTCCGCTTTTGAAGGTTGCAAAATTGAATTGTACGAAAAAAGTTGTCCCTCCCCCCGAAAATGCCAAAGGACCATTTATTTAATTCTTTAAAATTACCTTAGACCGTAAATTGGTGTAGACAAAGTTGTCGAGTGACTCGACCCTCTCTGACGTTTGGTCGTCGACAACTTCCACTTTTTCCATAAGTTCGTCGACGCGTTTCTAAAAAAATAACCCTTGATCGCGCAAAGTAACACGCACCTTCTCGGTTGGCCCCGCGACCGTCTTGACAATGTCGAGCACATTGTCGTAGGCGGTTCGGCAGATGATCCAGCGGCGGCCCTCGATCTGCTTCAGCACCTTTTCCCGCTCCGGGTTCTCGCGCTCCCAGGCCGCTTGTTCTTCAAGCAATTGACTCGGGAATCTGATACAAAAAGCTCGTAAATATAAAGATTTTCTTACCTATGATCCGTTCCGCCTGGATGCGTCAAGTTGGAGACGAGCAGGAAAACGGTGCTCACGTCAAGGTTGATCGGGGTTTGCTCGTTTTCGTCAATTTCTGAAACAATAGCGTGAAGACAAGAAGAAGCAAAAATGGTGCTTTCGCATTATCGGGGGAGCTTTTTTTCCAGAAGTTCATATTAACGTGATAATAGGTAGTTTAATAGTGAGATTTAACTAGATTTCAAATAGAAAACCATCAAAAAGATCTTTAAAAATTTGTTTAGTCGAATTTTTGGTCCAAAATTGGCCATTTTTTGGTCGTAAAAGCTATATTTTTGTAATTTTCAACAAATTTTGCGCGTTTTTGCCTTTCGGGAAAGTAAACAACAGTCTAGAAACACTTCCGCCGTCTTTATTTGAAAATTTGGATGCTAAGTAGAAAGTTGGTTCCCCCCACTCCACTAATGGCACGAAAGGACCGCAAAAATACCTGATCTATCAAATGGCAGCTTTCGCTCGTCTTCCCGCTCCTCGAGCGCTTCAAGGAGGTCATCCGGTACGTTGGCCAGCGAATTGAATGGGAGCTGGAAAAGGTACTAAAACAAAGAAAGCTAAAACACACCTCTTGCCCCTCGACAATCACACCCATGGCCCGTAACCGCGCGGCCATCCGATCGGGCACACCGGCTTGAAAGAGGAACACCGTCTTCGGGGGTATGTAGTTGCGCGGGAACCGGCAGGACATCTTAAAAAAATTAAGATAGTTTTCATGGCAAACCCCACCTCTAGATAGTTGGCCGCTTGGTCGAAGATTGACCGCGTCGCGCCGGAAATCCAGTCTAACGCCACTCGCCGGGCATTTCGTGATATTACCTAAAACGATAAAATGGTAAAAAAACGCCAGTAAAATACCTTAATCCAGAGATTTCCGCCCTCAGCCACCAAATCGACTTGATGCTTGAGCGTTCTAAATTAGGTTTTTACCGCTATGAAGCCTGAACAAACTCGTTCGTTTCTCGGTCCAGAATCGCAAACGTGTGCAACACGGCGGTGGCTCCTTTGTATCTAAATTTCAACCCTATTTGAAGCTGCAAAGATAACGAACCTTCCAATGGCGTTGTAGAGGTTCTCGAAGTGGGTGACGTTCGAGGTCTCGATGTACTTCTTCTCCAGCGGCTTCTTGCCGTCTGATAACTAAAAACAATGCGGATTAGAAAGTCGCAAAGGAAACCCACCCCTCGTAGAAATTTCAATTCGCTAGCTAGCCGATTGCGCAGCTTGCTGATTCCGGCCACTTGGATCGAGTTATCTAAAACAGATTTTTATGCTAAACCGGAACTTTGAAGGGTTTTAAGGGAAACACGGCCTTTTTTGGTTTTGGCAAGCGCGAAACATTTCTCATTACCTTTCAATTTTTCTTCCAGCTCTAATGCGGCTCGTAACCGGTCATCGAGCAGTTGATCCAACGGCAGCTCCTCGTCCGCCATTGGCTGGAAAAAGGTCTGGCACATTTCAAATAGTAGAAGAAGCTAGATCTAGGCAAAAAATATGACTTTTTATCGCAAAATCAGGTTAAGAAATTGCTTTTGTCGAAAAATCATCAACATCAATTGCTTCTGAAGATTCGCATGCTCTTTCAAAATCTCCAAAATCTGCCGCAAACTCAAACAATTTTTTTGCTAAAACTGCAATTTCGCCCGGCAATCATTTGCAATCCACCAAAATAGAACTTTTTATTCATCGGCCGTGCCTGAAACGAGTGACATAAATCTTCCACAACGTTCCGGGCACGCCGGAATCAACCAGGGGCAAAAATAAACACATTTTCGAGCAACTAGAAGGTAGCTAATTTTGTAAGAGAAAAAGCCCAGTAAAGTGGCGGGTATTTTAGGCACATAAGCACACGCGGATAGGTCAGGAGGGCTAACGAAACGAAAAAACGGGGAGTGGGGATGATGAAAGGCTGTATCACATTTTACGCAGGGTTTTTTAACACAAGTGATGGCGGATAGGGTACGGGGAATTGAGGGATTGGCCAGATCGGTAAACTACTGAAGAATTTCTCGGGCAGGCTTGCAGAGAAAATTTGAGCTTGACAGCTAAAATTCGAACATTTTACTTTGAAAAAAGGTTTTTTTCGAATATGCTAGCAGAAGTAAATTGTGGTTTTCAGGTTAAAGGTGACGAATTTGGCACTACCCTATTATGAGGGGGGGGACCGGATTCCTCACAGTTACTCGTATTAACCTTTTTTTCAGGCTTGTTACAGTTTTCAGATAGCAAAAAAAACTCATAAAAATCAAGATTTGCGAAAATCTCACTTTTAGGCGGAAAACAAGGCGCTATTGCGGTTTGCTGGCCCCACTTATATCGGGCCAAAACTGATTGTTTCCGGGCTAGTTTTTTGCGCTGATTACGAAAAACCACATCCCGAATCGCGAAAGTTCTGTTTTCCAGGAAAACAAACTACATTTTTATATTTTAGGTTTGGGTTTGCACGGGGTAACTAGATTTGAATTGAGAGGCCTGTAGACTGGTGGAAAAACTTTTCCAAGAAAATTAGTTCATTGCAACCGTTTTTACCTAAAAATAAGGCTTCGTGCCACCCCGGGGCCTAGTCGCTTCGGATGGGTGCGAGCTGGTACAGGGTTTCGAAATCGGGGCGCCCGAGGCGCGCGTAGCGGGCAGGCGCCCCGATTTCGAAAGAGTGGAGCGGCAGCCCATCCGAAGCGACGGCCCGCCTTGCCTGACAACGCTACAAGCCCACTTCTGCGCGAGAAATTAGTTTCTGGTAATTATTTACCGACTTTATCACACAAACTGCCTTTTGGGCGAGTACCGTGAACCGGTATAAATTGGTATAAAAACGTATATATGTAGCTATAAGTTTTACTAACGCACATTTTTACGAACTGCGGCAGTGTTTTTCGTAATCAACGCAAAAAACTAGCCCGGAAACAATCAGTTTTGGCCCGATATAGGTGGGGCCAGCAAACCGCAATAGCGCCGAAAACAAAAATTAGTCCCCCCGCTAACAGTCCAGTACCACAAATTTTACTTGAATAAACTGCAGCTTTTTTTCGGCATACTAGCAGGAAAAATTTGTGGATATCAGGTTCCAAAATGTCGAATTTACATGGGAATTCGCAGATTTCCGGCGTGCTAGCAGAGACCATTAGACGCGACGAGGCTAAAAATGGACAATCCCTCAAGCTACAATCAGAAAAAAAACAGAGAAAAAAGAAAAACGAAAAATCGGCCTAAATGAGGAGAAAAGGCAGCTACCCCAAAGAAAGAAAGAAATAAATAATTAGTATTATCGAACCGCGACTAGCGCGCGCCAAGCGAATCACAGAGGGTACAGGGAAATGACGAGGAGAAGAAGAGGAACAAGCCAAAAACACACAAAACCACCACACAAAAAAGCAGAGAGATAAATAGAATTATGGAGGGAAGAGCATCGGTGCAAAAAAATAAATTATATCTTTTTGGCGCGGGGGCTACAAGTGTTGCATTTGTCCTATACATTGTTTGCACTGCATTTTGGCCGAGGAGAGCGGGATGGCGGGAGCCTGAAAAAAACCCCCCGATATAACTTATTAATTTTTATTATAAATCTTTTTTGTTTTCCATTTTATCAGGGTCCTTTCGCATTATCGGGAGGGGGAGAGAAATTTTTTTGTATAAGTCTAGAAATGCGCAGCAACTTAATAGAAAGAATTTTATCGGTGGTTTTAGTTGAATAAAACTATACATAAACTAGAAAACTATTGTAAAAGCTTTTAAAAGTCAAAATTTCGTTCGAAAAAGCGATACTTTTGTATTGTAAAATTTTTGTAGTTTTTACGCCTAAAAACACTTCCGCTATTTATATTTGAAATTTGGAACATTTCAAAAAAAGTTGGTTCCACGATGATGCAAAAGAACCTTTAAGAAGATTCGAAAAATTACAAAAACTATTTAAAACAAATTTTAAATGTATTTTCAAGCCAATTAGATCTTAGGCGTACCTGAATTTCATTGATAATCTCCATGATTTGCCGGACGGCGTCCTCGCGACTGGTGTATTCCACCGGAAGTTGGTTGTCTTCGGTTTCACTAAAAAGAAAATTTTCAAAATATGTTGAAGCCATCGATACCGTAGAGTTTTCGGAGGTTTCGCGCCGACGGGCGAAGCGCGAGAATGGACGGCGGCTGTTGGAGAGTCTTCAGTTTGGGTAGGTATCTGAATAATCGGCTTAAAAACTATTACCACGCGTTATCTCTAAACATCGAAATTTCGAAAATTTTAGTAAGGTTTCCATTTTTCTGACTTGTTCCTTCAACGAACTTTTGCCAAAAATTTCAGACTTGTCAAACCCCAAATTTTCGACGTTCCTATTTTCGAATACCTCCTCAAAAACTCACCTCATCCTTCTGCCCATCCACCAGGTGCTCCTCGTCGCCGCTGAACTCGTCGACGGTGCTGTGGCTGTAGGAGCGCGGCCGGAAGGGCTCAAGGTTCTAAAAAACCTTAAAATTAGATCCTCAAAATTTACCGGGGTCTTGTCCTCGTCAAGGACGCGGACGAGAGCCCGTTGAAGCTCGTTACACCTGCTGACGACCCGTTCGCGCTCCTTTTCCAGGTTGGCCATCTGCTCGTCCTTCAGCCGCAGGCGTTCCCGGATGAGGCGACGCTGAAAAAAAACGATAAATAAAAATTAAATAACGAAAATATGCTTGGCAAGTTTCTAAAAAGTTTTTCTAGCAAAATTTAGTTTGATTTGAAGCGCAAAAATAGAGAAAACTTGCAAAATTCCAAAAAGCCGTGATTGTGATAGAAAAATTTAACTTTTTGGTTTTTTTAGACCGCAATTTGTCGTTTTTACGTTCAGGAATAGTCCAAAAACAATGATTCTTTTCGTCAAGATGTCTAGTAAAAAAAAGCGTTACTCTTTCAAAACTAAAAACATTAAAATACTAATCGATACCTGATGCTGATACAAAACGACGTGGTCGGCAATCGTTTCGTTCTCCAGCTGCAGTTGCTGGTTGATATGTTCTAAATGTTTTACTTTGTTTAAAGCAATTTTACACTAACCAATACGATCACAACGCTCCTGCATCTCGGCCAGCTGGCGCATCGCCTCCGAAAAGCGCTAAAATCGTATTTTCAAGCAAAAATCAGCGCACCAACCTTCTCCAGCTCGGCCCGGGCCCACTCCTTCGACCCGACGACCACCTCGTGCTCGCCATTTTGGTGATGAACAGGCGAGGCGGGTGGGGTGGAATGCTGAAAAAACAGAATGAAGAAATCTGCAAAAACTGACCCTAACCACGGGTCCATTCTCGTCAATCCTCGTGCTCTCCAGATGGCTGTCGGCCTCGTTGAGAAGCCGGGTGAGGTGGTGAACTTTTTCTCTGAAAAAGGTTGATGGAAGGATTCCAGCTGATTCCAGCAGTTCCTTTAAAAAAACCCAAAAACTTACTGCAAGTCCTCGTTCTCGCTGCGCAGCTGATGGATTCGCGCCGTCGCGGCCTCGATTTCCAGGTCGGTGGCCGAGCTGGGGGGTGGAGTCGGGAGAGCAGGGACCGGGGCCCGATTGGCGTTTTGGGCCAGAGTTTCGACTTCTTCCCTAGAAAAATTTTGTAATAACAAACAAAAAAAGTTTCGCTACCTGAGTAGCTCATTCTCATGCGCCAGCGCATTGACACGCGTGATGGCCTGGTTGAGCTCGACGAGGATGCTGTTCTGGTTCTCGTCTTCGGCGTTCTGGAAATGAACAAGGGTGATTAAAGAGTAAAACAAAATGTTTCCTATCTAATATAACAAAAATAAACTATGGGTTTTTCCGCAGTATTTTTTTACAAAATCTACCAGTATACCACGAATTTCCAGCTGCTAGAGCCAAAAAAGCAATAAACAGCCATCACCTGCCGCAAAATCTGGTTCATCTGCTCGTTCTGCGAGTTGGATATCCGCAGCTCGGCTCGTGCTCCCTCCAATTGCCTCCTCGTCTCGTCGAGCTCTTGCCGGAGGCTCGTCTCGTTGCTTGGGATTCCGTCGGAGTCAGAGTCCTAAAATTGCGCGTCATTCCCAGGAAAGAATCGAGAATCTTTCAAAAAGATGATGATGCTCACCTCATCGTCGCGGTCATTCTGAAGCCGCTGATGGAGGGCAGACTCGTGCTCGATGATGGAGGCGGGTTGTGAGGTGACGACGTCGGTCTGCGAGGTGGCTGTGGTAGTAGATGTTGAACGGGTAGATTCGTAGCTCGATCCGGAGCCAATGCCCTGAAAAATGACAGGTTATCACCCTCAAAGACAATCCGCACCTCAAGACGTCGCTCGAGCTCGCGAGCCTGATGTTCGGCCGTCTGGCGGGCCAGCTCTCCAACGCACTTCTCCTCGGTGAGCTTGATGAGACGATCCTCAGTGGCAATCAGCTGCTCCTTCAGCTCGCGATTCTGGGCGACGGCACGGGAGACGGTGGCCTTTTCGGCTTGCAGCTGCTCGGAGAGAGAGAGGAGTTCAGTGGACGCGTCGCCGAACACTTGGCGATTTTCTTCGGCTAGGCGGAGCTTCAGCTGCAGGTCGGCGATCATCGACTCGCGCTCGTAGAGGAGACGATCCTAAAAAACCAGATATGACAAAAAAAATTGACAAACCTTTTCCTTGTTCATCTCCTCGCTCTCCTTCCTGTTCTGCTCGAGCAGCTGCTCCCAATGAGAGGTCACCCTCCTGACGGCATCGTCTATCCGCTTCGGCACGTCGTTTTCAGAGAGGCCAGCAGCGGGGGCGGCGGGCTGAGACTAGAACAGAATCTTTAATTTTTCAGCTGTAAAAATACCTGTTCTCCAGCAACACTTGGCGTTTTCTGGCGCTCAGCCTCCTTGAGCTTGTTCGTCTCCTGCTTGGCCAGCTCCAGCTCGTTCTCCAAATTCGAGAAGCGCGACTCGAGCTCGTAGCGGGTGTTCAGCGAGGATTCGAGCTAAAAAGCGTCTTAAAGAATTTCACGATTTTAAAAATTTCATCAAGTGAAAAATTATCTATTTGATTACCTCCTTGTTCAGCCGATCAACCGTCTCCTTGAGATGGGAGACGTTCTCGTTGTACTGGCTGCGAAGGCCGGCCAGCTCCTCCTTGGTCTCGCCGAGCTCGGTGGACGTTTGGAGGTGCTGGGAGCGAAGGGCTTCATGTTCTTCTGAAAAAGCGTGTTTTTATTGCGGAAATTTTTGTATAAATCTAGAAATGCGTATAGGTGGTAACTTAATAAAAAGCATTTCTTTCGTATTTTTAGTCAAAATATCACTCGATTTCAATCAGAAAAACTATCTAAACCCTTAAAAAATTACAAAGTCGCAATTTTTTCCAAAACTCGGCCATTTTTGGTCGAACAATCGATATTTTTCGCATTTTTTCTGTTTAGAAATAGCAAAATTCGCTATTTATATCAGAAAAGCGGAACAATAATAAAATTACTACCCCCGATAGTGCACAAGAACCACACGAAAATACAATTGTAATCAAGCTAGTAAATGAAAAGAAAACCCCTTACTTTCAAGCGCTTCCATGTCGGCGTGACCCTGACCTCCATCGGCCCCAACGCCCGACTGATGCATGGCATATTGCTTCAGGTGAAAGTCCTTCATCTGAGCCTCTTTTCGGAGCTTCTAAAAAGTACAAATAGCGCTAAAAGTAATCAATTACCGCCAGCTCGGCCTGAATCGAGTCGCGGTCCTTGATGATGTTCTTCAGCCGGGCCAGTGCCTCATTCTTGTCCTGCTGGATTGTCAGGATCTGCGACTGGAATTTGCCCGACTCCCGGCGCTCGGTTTCGATTTCTTGGGCCCTGAAAAATACTTTATTTTCTCGTGGATTTTTCTTTAGCATTCAATTTTTATAGGCAAAGAGGAAGCGCTTTTAGAGTTTTTTTTACTATTCCTAATGGCAAAAACTAACAGATTTCGACCGAAATAAGGCAAAAATGATAGGTGCTTTGATCAAAATTATCGATCTCTTGCCAAATTTAATTTTTTACACATTTCCTACATGTTTCCTATTTTTAAAAATAGGATGATTTTCCAATCAAAATGCATGAAAACGTCGTTAAAACGCTATTAAAACTCATTATATGACGCTTAAATAATTTTTAAACATTTCTGAAAGTTTTAAAACAGTTTTCTATTCAAACGACAGCAAAATTTTGTTCAAAAAAAATGGAATACTTTATACTACGTTACGAGATATATCTGGAGTCATAATTCAAAACGTACAGTTTCTCGCACAAATCATCCCGTTCGGCAACGACATTCTTGAGGCGCTGCAGCTCACGCTCGGACACATCGCCGCCAGCCGGCGCTCGGTTTAGCTCCGCCTAAAAAGTTGAATTTCATAGTTTTAAACCAAAAAGCCGCGCAATAGTGGTCCACTTTAAGAATTATTACCTGCACTTTCTCCAGCTCCCTCTTAATCTGCTCGTGTTCATCGCGCGACTGCCGCAGCTCGGCTTGCAAACCAGTTTTCTCGGCGACAAGCCCGGAGAGAGCCTGTAACAAGGTCGATATTGGCATTCACCAGATGAGCTTCGATAAACGTTTTACGAGCCCCCAGACAAAACGTGGGGCAATAAAAAATGGCCGTAAAAAAGCGGGGAAACCACCAACCGCCTGTAAGTGCGCAATCTGCTCGGTGACCCCGGCGCCGGCGCCATTGTTCGTCTGCTGTGCCGTCAGCTCGGTGTAGGCGGCGTGCAGCTGGGAATAGAAGCCGTTCTAAAAATCAGGGAAATTTGTAATTTGCCTAGAAATTTGGCGAGAAAAAAACGCGAAAAACGCTCACCAATTCCTCCAGTTGTTTGGAAAGCTGCTGAATCGTTTGGTCGCGCTCCTGCAGCACGTAGAAGAGGTTCTGCGAATCGAGCTGAAAAAAGGACGATTTTGTATGACGAAAAAGTGATTTGTACGTTAACTTGAAACTTTGGCGCTGCTAAGAAGCTTTGCGAACATAACTGCAAATTTATCAAAATTCTGTAAAATCAGACTATTTCTATGTTATTATGCCTGCAAAAAAAAATCGGAAAAGATTTTCAGCCACCAAAAGCATAAGATTTATAAATGCCAGAGTTAGTGTAATTTTTAACATAGCTTAAAAACTCCTTACATGAGCAGCAGAGGCAGACGGTGTCGGGTTGCCAGAAATCTGAAAGGTAAAAATATACGTTGTGCCTCCAAAAATTCGAATACCTGCACAACCGTCTCGTCGACGCCATTCTGGTGACCGTAGCCGTCTTGATGAACATGTCCTGGGCCCAATTTATTCGTCAAAAAACCAGCTATTACCGGAATAGTTGCTCACCGCCGACGCGCGGCCGCCATTCTGGTGTTCGGCGTGGTGGTAGCCGTGCGAGAAGTCGGTCTAAAAATAGAATTTCATAAATTTCATGTTCCTCCAACTTTTGGACTATAATAGCTAGAGAACAACGGAAAATTTCGAACAGTGTCGAAAAGAGTAGCTTATATAACTTTTTGCGCATAGCCTAATCACCTGATCAACCGGCTGGCTCGACGTCGCCGAGAGCGTCGGCGAATGGCCGTTGTCCCGTCGCTTCTGCTCGAATTCCTTGAGCTAAAGGGAATGTATGAAGGTACCAAAAACTCCTTTACTTTCTTGCGCGCGAGCGCAATCTTTTCCGCTTTAAGCCCGTCCATTGGCCCGGTCCACGCAGCACATGTACGTCGGCTAGGGTGGCGGCCGGTCTGAAATGGGAAAATCGTGTGAATTCCACCCGAAAACATGGGAAAACAAACAAAAAGCCCGGTGTTCACAGCGTGGCAGGCCAGTTTTTGCATTGAACGACGAAAGCACGGGTTGTGGACGGTAATAGTAGCGCTGCGTACTGGCGTCTGTTTGCAAAGAGGAAGAAAAAGAAATGGGGGAGACATCAGGGTTGCGGTAGTTTTGCTTGCTTGACGGAAAATGAAAAATTCCATAAATTAAACAAACAAAATATGACGCACCAGGCCGTCTAGCAGAGTCCATTTGGGAGCGTTTTCGCGCTGCGAGGAGAGTTAGAGCCGTAGCAGAGTTCTTTTAGGAAAAGAGAGGATAAATTCGATTGGTTTTTTGCAATAAAGACGATAATAGAAGAGCCCAAACCAAATCTTTTTAAAATATTTTTAAAATTCTAGCAGAAGTTAGTTGAGCGCGGTTTTTCTCTCGACATTCTCTTGATACGGCAGGGTTACGGTATTCGGAGGGCGGTTTTTAGTGTCTCATTAATCCGAATCACGTTTTCTCGATTTTTGGAACACTTCCGGCAAAGTTCACGACGGTTTCGTTTTGTGTTACGAACTCATTGGCGAGGCCTTGTCAGCGATAACACGATTTCACGAATTCCTGCGGTATACCAGCCGGCCGGTACGCCTGCATGGATTTCTGGGGAAACGGATTGGTAACGTAGGCGGGAAATGATTTCGTAGAAAAATAAAAATTCAGGTGTTGTTGATTTAAATCAAAAACTTTTAGACCGTCATTGACCTGACACAAATCGATAGCAAGGGGGATGCTAACAGGGATTTTCTCGAAACCTCGGCTTTTACGCAAAGCCGGCTGGACGTTTGCTATACGCTTTTGGCGTCTGAAAGCGTATTTTGCAGTTTCAGTCCCATCTTAATGCCCCTGTTTCGATATTTCTCTGGTAAACCTAGGTTACGGTTCGGATTTTCGGTAGCGCAAGTGCCATTTATTGTCCACCTCTTTAACCGTGTAGTAGCGATCAAAGGAATGCAGGTTCTTTGTAAAAGTGCTTTTAGATTTTCTAAACTGCCTAGCGAACGAACAGCTATGTCGTGTCGATATAGCCCCCCACCCCCCGATCGAAATCTGCAAGGTCCGGGCAAAAATTGTCTTTTTTTTTGGTTAGACCTTTTCATTTCTTCTTGACGAAATAAAACCTTTCAAATCTAAAAAATCGACGTTTTTTTTGCAACGAGAAGTCGGCTCTCATGGGGCGCCCCCCAAAACAGGGTCGAAATTTCTCGTCATCCCCTCTAGATTTCTCCTGGCTACGGTACTACGGTAACGGTAGCTTACGTGCAAAACATAACATAGTTGTCCGCTTCTTTGCGTTTCAGCGACGCGCCCAATGCAAAACCCAAAACTACGGTATCCCCAGGTACGGCTTATAGTCCCCCTCCCCCACCCCGGGACAAAGTTCGGCACGGTTTCGTAGTTACGGAGATTTTTACGGAACCGATAACCCCAGAGGGGGAGATTTCGTGGTCTTCCGGTGCTTCTTCTTTCCCTGATTCTACGGTTGGTGGGTGGTGTGTGTTGTGGAGGGGTATGGAATAGAATCTAGGCATCAACCCCTTACCTTGGCCCTTATCACCCCCACCCCACATATAAGTCGGAACAATCGCCGTACCGCCCGGCCACCGAACGCCCCCTCTTTATTGGCAGTTAAAGTTTGCGGCAATTTTTTTGTGTGATTTGGGCTACGAAACACACCTTTGCACGGTGTAGTTCGGAATTTCACGACGTGATAGGGTAGATTTTTGATCGGTCGTTTTCGGTATTTTTTTAATGTTTTCTATTCAAAATGGTGTTATTTTCGCAGCTAGAATTTCCCAAAAAATCTCCGTTGGCCTGCTTTACAGCCTGAACACTACGAAACGCACCTTTGCACGGTGTCTTTTGGAATTCGGGCCACGATATGGTAGTTTTGGCCCCGTTTTGTCGGTTTGCGTTTTACTTTTGTTTCAAATGTGGACCTCTCATTGCTGTAGGCGGGCCCGCGGAGGTTCTTTCGGAAGTTTTCTACACTCCAGCAAATGTCATTTGGCGCATCGCGTGGCGATTGAAGGGGTCGATTTTCGCGCTTTCGAGTACCCTTAGAAACTCCATTCAACCTAGTTTTTCATTTGCCAACCCGCTCCCGGCATCAGCCGGGCCATAATTTGCCACGGCACCCGCCGTTATCTTGAAAAACCGGAGGCCCGGTAGCAATAGGCAAAAAAGCCGAAAGTCAACGGGCTACACTGTGTAGCCGGGCAGTCACAGCACGCTGATGTTATCACATTTTTCTTTGCTTTAGAATTCGGACTTTAAAAGGCAAATGACATAACAAATCCACCTGACTGTATCTCTCTCTCTCTCTCCCTCTCTCTCTCTCGCTCTCGCCACTGTTTGCCACTCGGATATATTTTCATATTTTTAGGGTCGTAGACGCACGTGTTTTGGTGCACAGCGTACAAAGGGTGTGTGGACGTGGTAGAGACTGTAGTTTAAGCTCATGTTTTGGGTTGGATCGTGCATTTAAAGAGACTTGGAGCTTGAGCTCGAGCCGGATCCTGCTCTCTCTCTCTCTCTCTCTCTCTATCGCTCTCTCTCTCTCGCTGTCTTTCTCTCACTCTCACACCTCTCATTCTCTCGATCTGTCTGTCGCACTCTCAGAATCTCTCGCGCTCTCGCTCGCTCGCTCGTTCTCTGTCTCGCTACTCTCTAGCTCTCTCTCTCTCTCTATCGCTCTCTCTCTCGCTGTCTTTCTCTCACTCTCTCTCTCTCTATCTCTCGCTCTCTGTCTGTCTCTCTATCTCTCCCTCTCTGTCTGTCTCACTCTCTCCTGTCTGGCCCACTACATTCTATTCTCCCCCATTTCCACGCCCTGATCAGCAACGCGGAACAAACCTCCGATAAGGTGATGTGCGCGTTTCCAGACCCTCGCAATTCTTATCGCTTCAGGATTCTGGAGGCACCCTGCTGATCGAGGGGTTGCAGGGAAGGGGTTCGATCTTTTGGAATCGAACCCGGGTCCATAATGATAACGGGAACGAAACGGGTCCCAGTCTTGTTGGTGATTTTTAGGTTTTGCAAGTGATTTGACATTTCTGGGCAGCGGTGGTTTTCGAACTTTTGGAGGCAACTAGCATCTCTATATCAAGATATTTATTAGGGGCATATTGCAGCTCGTGTAATTAAAAGAGACGGAATCGAATTAGCTGCCCTACCCCGTAAAATGTGAGATAACTTGTGAATCTGGCGGGTTTGTCTAATCTATCGCGCTCTCTCAGTCGCGCTCTCTCTCTCTCTCTCTCTCTCGTGTTACTAGTGCATGTCTTCGTAGGTCAAGGGCCCTACCGAGGTGTTGGGCTTTCCTTTTACAACACAATTCGGTATGCAAACACAGCTCCCCTATAGTCTATGGTACAAGAAGTGCGGTAGATCGGGGCCACCTCCTTGGGGCGGGTGTACCTCAGAAGTGCTTCCTTGACCGTTGGACGAATTTTGGGGTGTAAGCGGTGAGTACTTCTCAAATGGTCTCCATCCAATTCCTCAAAGAATGTCTGCTAGCCTCCTCTCTATCCTCTCCAATTCCTCAAAAAACCCTGCTAGCTCGCCCTACATTTTCATTTCCTTCGAAAACTCTGCCAGTTTTCCCCAATCTAAGTCAAGTTCAGCTTCAAGATGGGGATCTGGGAGCGGCTAATTCACGACTTGCATCCAACAAACCTACGTCCAATTTTCTACCTGATCACGCCAAATGAGACGTTGCACTACAAAACGATGGAAGAAGTGCCGCATTTTCTCGATAATGTAAGATTACGCAGCGTAATTTAGCGAATATAACTGCCGTAATCAATTCCAACACCAATTTCTCATTTTTTTCCAGGCAAACCTGTGGATGCTACTTCTCGTCGTCATCGAGTTCTACTTCCTCGACGAGCGAAAATACGCCTTCAACGACACGATAACTTCTATTAATGCGGGAATACTGTCGTTTGTCATGAAGTGGGTTATTTTTGAGGGTGAAAGTAATTCCGAAATGGTCTGTGCAAGTTACGTACGCTCAGCTTTCCGCAAAGATCGCTGCTAGCTACCGCATGGTCCAAAAATTTTGAAATAATCTCTGCTAGCACTCCGCGATTAAGTGGCATTTCCTGAAAGCCTTCCAGTTAGCTATCTGGGTCCACAAATGGTCTCTGCTAGCATACCAGAAACAATCGATACTTCTCAAAGCATGTCTGCTAGGTTAAGAATTTTCCTAACTGGCCTCTGCTAGCTTGCCTGGACCACTAAATCCTCAATGATCCCTGTCAGCTAGCCGGATTCTCAAAGCATCTCTGCTAGCACTCCTCAACCAAATGCTCCTTCAGATACGGTGGCCGTTACATGTCTGCTGCTCTCTACCCCTGGTGCTTTTCGCATTTCCGGATTATCGACCTGGACCCCCACGCCACGTCCACCTGGATTCTATGCTTCTTCACACAAGATTTGGCATATTACTTGGCGCATAGGGCGATTCATGGTAAGCGAGAGAGAGAGAGAGAGAGAGAGAGAGAGACAGAAAGAGAGAGAGAGAGAGAGCGAGTGAGAGCGAGAGAGAGAGAGAGATAGAGTGGAGGAAAGAGAAGCAGACAATCGTTTCAGAATTTGGCGTCTTCTGGTCGTATCACCAGATGCACCACTCCTCCGAATACTACAACTTGTCGACGGCGCTGAGGCAGGGCATGTGGCAGGTCAGTCGCAACCTACCGAAAATAGAGAGAGACAGAGAGCGAGAGCGAGAGAGAGAGAGAGATATATAGAGAGACAGTGAGAATTATACTGAGAGTGACAAAACATCTTCCCTTCCACGTCCCTTTAAAAGCTTTTTATTGCGTATTGTCCTTGGACTATACTGGATTCTGACTGCTCATCGGCATCTCAAAGTTCATCCGGCCGTCATGTGCTATCAGCCGCTGAAGGGGGTTCCCCCCTCCAGTGGCTGCAAACAGTGCTGATAACGCCCCTGAAAAACCGTAGGACACCAAATAGCACGCGGGGCAAATGATCAGCGGGTCAGCAGCCCCCCTAGAATGTAGCCTTGGAATGCCGCGTAGTGGTGATAAGGGGTGATTTTCGAAACTCGCCTAGAGTCGAGTTGTAGGGTAAGTATGACAGGAATTTGATACGGTCAGAGTGGGCAGAATGTGTCAGAAATTGGAGAGGAATAGCTTTTAAAGGCATGAGGAAGCCCGAGAATTGACCCCTAGCATCGACTAGGTCTCGACAGCTACGCGGCACTCTAAATTACGTTTACCACTGTGAATTTCAGATCCAAGAAGACCATGAAATTTTGGAAAAATTCAAAGAGTTTTGCTTGTGTCATTTGGAGTCTCGCGTAGCTGTCCTGACCGGTTTTCTTAAAAGAAGCAATAATTCAGATAAAGTACTGTAGCAAAACACGCATTTTTTAGGATTTCGGCACCTTTGGCTTCGACCTCCTTCAAACCTTCTTCATCCCGCCGAACATCTTCATCATCCACCGATATCTGAATGTGGCATACCAATTCTGGCTTCATACGGAGGTAAGAATTTCTCTCTCTCTGTGTCTCTCCGTGTCTCTATCTCGCTTTCTCTCTGCCTCTCTCTCTCTAACCCTTGATTTTCAGACAATCCCCAAACTCGGGCCGCTCGAGTGGGTGTTGAACACGCCGTCCGCCCATCGTGTTCATCACGGAAGGAATCCGTACTGTATTGACAGGTTGGCGTCTCTTTCTCTCTCTCTCTATCTCGCTCTCTCTCTCTCTCTCTCTCTCTTTGTAGCTCTCTCTATACCGTATTTTCAGAAACTACGGAGCCACGCTAATCATTTGGGACCGTATGTTCGGTACCTACGCTGAGGAAAAGACGGAGGAGGAGATCGCCTACGGCCTTGTCACCAACGTCAACACGTTCGATCAGTTGTACTGCCAGGTAAGTCTCTCCGATCAAAAACCTAAGCCTGAGCCTAAGCTAAGCCTAAGTCAAGTCTAAGTTAAGCCTAAGCTAAGCCTACCTAAGCCCAAGTCTCAACCGAGGCCGACGCCGCCCTCTAACCTCCTTTTTCAGACCTTCGAATTCAAGGAGATCGGCTACGACAAGGGCCAGATGAAAGATGAAAATGGGAAGGAGCTGTTCCCAGGGCTCTGGAATAAGGTATATTTAACGCTAATCAAATTTTCATAATTTTTAGCTATTAATGCATCTACTGGCCCTTAGAAGTTGCTAAGACCTTTAAAAGTTCGCAAAATTCAATAATTTTTGACTTATGGGGCCCTTTAAACTGTCCTGACTGCTAATTCATCGTCAATTTTCAGCTAAAAGTCGTCTTCCAACCCCCAGGCTATTTCCCGGGCGTCCAGACAAAGTGGTTCTTCTTCTGGAAGTGCAACGTCGACAATGAGGAGGGAATTCCGGAGATCAAATGCCGACCCCCGGCCTATAATCCGACCTTGTCGACGCCGTTGAAGGTTTACTTGGCCTTCCAGTTCATCGCATTGGTCGTGGAAGGTGGGTGAAAGGAAATTGAAAATTGAAAGTGAAAAAATTGAAAACTCGAGTGGGGGCAGCTAGTAGAGATTCCTAGGGAACAGGATACAGGCAGGCTAGCAAAGATCATTTGGGAATGCAAGGGGCAGGCTAGCAGAGATCATTTGGGAATGGAAGGGGCAGGCTAGCAGAGATCATTTGGGAATGGAAGGGGCAGGCTAGCAGAGATCATTTGGGAATGGTAGGGGCAGGCTAGCAGAGATCATTTGGGAATGGAAAGGGGCAGGCTAGCAGGGATCATTTGGGAATGGAAGGGCATGGGATCATTTGCGGGGTTTTCAGCAATCCAATTCAACGACGTTCGTCTCTCTATGCCGTGGACACCTTTCGCTATGCATATGGCTTATCTTCTCGCTTCCGCCCAGGCTTTTGGATATTACTTTGATCATCGGTAGGTATTTTAAAGGGCCATTGAAGGCAAATCTGCCATGGATCAATGAGTCCATAGAATATCCGGTTAATGAGGTTCTAGCTTTATTTTTTCAGACCGTTCTGCATCCTGTTCGACTGCGCTCGACTGCTCGCCATTGCCTATTACGGGTTTCTAATGCAGGTAAGTATTAGGACTAAAATTCGCATTATTCGATGGTATCCGCCAAAAATTCGCTGAATTTCCAGATTACACCCCTGTTCATCTACGCGGCCGTGTCTGCAGCTGCCGTCATTGGCCTCGGTTTTGCCGGCCAACTGCCAGTTCATGTTATGGCTAAGAAAGTGGATTAAATATTGTATCTATTGTGTCAGACTTTCTCTCTCTTTCTCTCTCTCTCACTGACTTGCTCTGGCTCTCTCTCTGTCTCTCTCTTCGTTGTTTTTGCAAAAAAAAATCGATATTTTCTCGCGAATCTCCTTCAAAACTAGTCAGCCCCCACCTACCAATTCAATTCTGATCTCATCTCACCAACGCACAGTGCCATATTTTCGGAAACAAGGTCAATAAAATATTTTCTAGCTAATTTATTACATTTAAATCGATCAAAATTCGCACGTTCTTCACGATACAAGACGCCAACGCGGCGCGTTACGCAACACACCCGGAGCGACGCGGTTGCGGCAAGTGGAGTGATTCGTACGCGGTCATTTATTTTTTAGTATTTTGAATGTCCCTTAGTTATAGCAATGTATCTTGCGCTATGAAATTTGGTTTTTTACAAAGTTTATTGTGTTTTTCGGGTATTATCGTATTTTAACAATTTATTCCCCAAAAGAAACCAAACCCAAAACGGATCAAATTAAAAAAAGAGGCTTTATAGTTCAGCTGAAGCTCTTCCGGACGCTAAAAACAATGAATTAAATGATTTTATAAATTTGTTGGAATGAAAAATAAAGAAATAGGTAAAATAATCAAAAGAAAAACAGGGAAGTGCTACTTACCGACACAGGCTTCTCCTTGTAAATTGTTGGTCCAAACACCGGTTGAGAGGCATTGGTAGATCTAAAAAGCGAGAGAGAGAGAGAGAGAGAGAGAGAGAGAGAGAGAGAAAGAGAGAGCGAGAGTGAGATACCTGCAACGGTTGACCGATCGACCCAAAGACGTACTGCTGCTTGCAACTATGCACGATCATGGTGCCAACCGGTTGGGTGCCTAAAACACGGTTTTTAAAGGGTCTAGGACGCGCCAGAATCGACCCCTTATCTCGCCTAGGTCTCTACAGCTACGTGACATTCCAAACGGCACCTTAAAAACAGTATTTGATTAGCCCTATAGCTTAATTGTTGAGCAAAAATCAAAAGCGCTGTCTGCGTCTTTTGAATTCTCGTGGAGTCGTCTAGACCTAGGGAATGTAAGGGTCGATTTTTGCACTTTTTAGTCTCTCTAAAAAACGGTTGACTCAAAAATAGAAAAAAAATCGCTTTTGAAACCCAAATCCTTAAAACCTACCATTAATGCGTGTTTTCGGGAGCAGCGTGTTTGCCATGTCGATATCAGCCGATGGGTCCGAGCATCTGGTCGTCGAGTTTTGATTGATGGCTTAAAATAAGCAACATATATTTAACAATTGATGCCCTACAATTTTGACAAAGTTGAGAAGCATCGTATCCACTCCATGAGCCCGTAGACGAGCATGTGAACGTCTTCGAGGTGCCGCCAGCTGGGAAGGTGTAGCCGTCCAAGCAGATTAGGGTTGTGTTCGAGCCTAAGAGCTGGTTTTGTACCAAAAAAAAAAGTCTGTTTTCTGGCACAAAAATAGTGGCCAATAATTTTTGAAGCGAAATCTAACTACGGGGTTTCTTCAAAGGATCTCTGCTGGCTTGCCTTGGCTTTAAGAGAACTAAATTTGGATCTACACGGTGTCCCAAAAAACCCCCCCCCCCCTCGGCATTTGGCCGTCTTCTATCGGATCGGGGCCAAATTTTTACCACTGATGGGGACCCATAAAAACTATATGCAGCCAAATTTTCTAAGCAAAATATTGTAAAACCAAAAAGTTATCGCTAAAAAACTGATTTTTGGAAAACGCTGCTGCTCGTTTTTGGCTATGTTTTCGCAATTAGCATGCCGATTTTGAGAAATTTTCCAAAAAATGGTCATTTCTCGGTCAGTTTCTGGCAATTTCGATAATAAAAAGTGATCGAAAGGCCCAATTTAAACGTAAATTTCGTAAATCAAAAAATTTCTACAGGTAGAAAAGAGCGCCCCCCTTCATTTTTGCTAAACATTTCGAGGCCGAAATCCGTCAAAATCCTAGTGAAATCGGCAAAATTAACCTTGATTTTGATATATCTTCTTTGTTCTACAATATTTTGCTTAGAAAATTCAGCTGCACATAGTTTTTATGGGTCCCCATCACTGGTAAAAATTTGGTCCCGATTGGATGGAAGACGGCCAAATGCCGAGGGGTTTTTTTTTTTGGGACACCCTGTAAGCACTCTAAAAGTTGTAAATTCTTCAAAAATGGCTGCTAGCTTGCCTGAGCCTTCGACCAAAAACATTTTCTTGAATAGTAGAAGCCTCCTCCCAGCCTGCCCCATTTAACCGGAAATCCAAAAAGTCAAAAAATTTGGAACGCTTCACGAATTTGCGTGTCATCCTTGCGCAGGGGCCATGCTAATCTTCTCTGTATTGTTCCAATTTTAGTATATGTTCATAGGAATGAACGAGGGGTGGGGGAGGGACCCTCCTTATATACCCCCCGTAGATGGGTGGGCCAGGTGCCGCACGTTTCGGGGACACGGAGAGTGCAGGCGGCCAGAGGAGGGTTAGACTCTAATCAAGACGCTTCGGGGGTGTAAGGGAACCTCAATTCAGGGGCAAGCTAGCAGAGAATTTTGTGGAATTACCGGGCATGCTAGTAGAGATTATTGAGGAGCTTTTTAAGGAGCTTCTGAGGCAGGCTAGCAGAGATTCTTTGAGGAATTGGAGGGGATCGATGGGCAGGCTAGCAGAGGCTATTACGCAAAACAGCGGTAGGTTAGCGACGATTTTGAGGATTCCAACGGCGGAATGTTTTCGACAAAAACTTATAGGGCAGCCAGCAGAGAGCATTCAGGAAAGGATGGCGAGCTAGCAGAGATCCTTTAAGAATAGTGAGGCAAGCCAGCAAAGACCGCTTCGGATTTTTTTGAGGCCAAGCTAGCAGAGACAATTTTGGAATTCAGAAAAAACTCACCAGCCGCCACATCCTTGTCTCCCAAAGCAAATGCATTCTGCGTATTGATCGCCGCCGTCGTGCATGTGGCTAAAAATTGGCAAAATTACCGTAACGCAAAATCGTTTTTTCAAACCTGGAGCTGTGGTCGTCGATTTGGCCGTAGTCGTGGATACCGTAGTTCGATTCCCAGTTACGGTAGACGTAGCGGATACGGTAGACGATACCGTAGTAGAAACATTGCTAGCGACGGTGCTGGATTTTGTACTGGTTACAGTAGTCGATGATCGATTGTTAGGTACTGTAGTCGTCCCGGTAGTCTTTGGTATCCATTCGTAAGTAGTATTCCCGTACTCGTCGGTGACGGCCACGTAATCGTAGTCAGTATACGCATCGGTGGTTGAGCCGCTTTCTAAAGGACTTGGGCTATTTTTTATGTGGTTTTTCTAGGGATTTGGTCAAGGCCAGTCCTTGGCCCGAATTCCTCACCTTCTGTAGCCACCGTACTCTGACTCCCAGGGTGTACGGTAGACGACTGCTTTTTTCTGTACTTTTCATACGTCACGTTTCCATATTTGTCGGTGACGGCAATATAATCGTAGTCTGAGGATTCCGTCGTGGTGATTACGGTAGAGTTGTCTAAGAGCGCACTTTTAAATTAAAATATGGTGTTCATACCGCTGCTGGAAACACCATTGTTTTTCGGGGATACTGTAGTTGGACCCTTAGCGGTTGTTTTGTCTAAAAATGATTTAAAGAATCTTTGCTCTCTCTCTCTCTCTCTCTCTCTCTCTCTCTCTCTCTCTCTCTCTCTCTCTCTCTCTCTCTCTCTTGGCCCCTCGATCCCCTCCAATTCCTCAAAGAATCTCTGCTAGCTTGCCTCAGAAACTCCTTAAAAAGCTCCTCAATAATCTCTGCTAGCGTGCCCGCGAATTCCACAAAATTCTTTGCAAGCTTGCCCCTGAATTGAGGTTCCCTTACACTCTCGAAGCGTCTTTATTAGAGCTTGACCCTCCTGTGGCCGCCTGCACTCCCTGTGTTCCCGAAACGCGCGGCCCCTGGCCCACCCATCTGTGGGGGGGTTTATAAGGAGGGTCCCTCCCCCACCCCTCGTTCATTCCTATGAACATATACTAAAATTGGAACAATACAGGGTGGCGATTAAGTACTTGCGCCTGTTTCAAGCACGTTTTTAGGAGCTAAATCGTAGTCGGCAGAAAAAACAAATAAGTCCATTTTGTAGAGAATTTTTTTGCTATATCAGATGCAAGGTGAAAGAGGAAACCGCTTTACCACACAATTTTAATTTGTCTAAACATGTAAAACCGCGTTTTTTTGTATGGATTTTCTTCATTTTTGAGGAGCTCAGAAATTTTTTTGAAGAAGCTGGATATATTTCCCGATGTTTGATCGTGAAAAGAGCTATCTGGACTTGCTAGGAAAAATGGGTATGGGCAACAGGGAGTCCTGAGTAGGGCACGGAAGCGAAAGTAAATTTTGGCAAAGCTCGAGGGCCGCGCATCCTGTCTCAGAGCGACTTATCGCAGAAGAATGCATTCTAAAAAATCGCACCTTTGAGAGACCTTCTTCGTTTTGCTATCAAAATGTAGGTAATTCTTGCGACTTTTTACTAGCCACTTTAGCTAGAGCGAGAAAAGCTAAATCCTCCAGCCGATGATTTTTTAAGCGTGGAGCAAACGGGTCGCATAACCATGCATTTCATTCCATCGTTTTGTGCAAACACTTTGAGTTTTTTGAACGCCCTTAAGCTTTTTCGTACCGTTTGGGTCGCATAACCAGGTCCCGATCATGGAAAACATCCTCGACAAGTGATTGTAGAAATTTGAGACATTTTGCGTTTTTGTGCAAAATTCCTACCGCGCGGCTCAATTTTGGTGGTCGAGAAAACCACGAATAAATCTAGGATCCGATTAGAAAAAATTTTTCTGTCTATTACGTTCGCTAAAGGGCATTGCAAAGAATATAAAGACCACCTGTTGTTTTGGCCAACTGAGATACTTAGGCTGAAAAGCTTAAACAAAGGGACGAGATACGCGCGGCCCTCGCTGATGTTTGGGCGCTTCTCTCAAAGGTCATATCTTGAAAATTTAAGAATTAGGGCCGTAGATCTTTTGGTATCCGTAATTAGGTTATATTAACTACATCATGGTCGTAAAATAATTTCCGAGACACGCTTCGGTCATTTTTTACGCTGCCTTTCCTGGCGCAAATACTTAATCGCCACCCTGTACAGAGAAGATTAGCATGGCCCCTGCGCAAGGATGACACGCAAATTCGTGAAGCGTTCCAAATTTTTTGGCTTTTTTTGGATTGGCCCCCAGATTGGGCAAGCTAGCAGAGATTTTTGAGTAAGCTTGTAATTTTCATAAATCTTTGTTTAATTTCGGAGAGCACAACGCGATTATTGTTCGGGCTTCCTAAACTTTTCCATTTGAAGGTAATGGCTAGCTACCTGGAAGATTTTTCTAGCGTGCTCCTGGCTTCCCTGACGCTTTTTGCTAGGCTGCCCTCTCCATCCCCTCCAATTCCGCAAATAACCTCTGCTAGCCTGCCTCTTCCATCCCCTCCAATTCCTATGAATCTCTGCTAGCCTGCCCCCGTCCATCCCCTCCAATTCCTCAAAGAATCTCTGCTAGCCTACCCCCGTTCATCCCCTCCAATTCCTCAAAGACTCTCTGCTAGCCTGCCTCTTGCATCCCCTCCAATTCCTCAAAGAATCTCTGCTAGCCTGCCCCCTCCATCCCCTCCCATTCCGCAAATAATTTCTGTTAGGCCCCATTCCTTACCTACAGTACTCTCGGTCGTATCCGAATAATCATAATCATCCGAAAAATAGTAATAATAATCCTCATTGTTTGGATCTGGAGTAGCGTAGTCTGTAGCTCTACCGTAGTCGTAGTCCACTGTTGTAGTCTGTACTCCATCGGGGTGTCCAGAGGATGGCTTCGTAGTCGAGGGTCCGGTGATCGATTTCTGCGTCGAAGTTGAGCTACCATTAACAACCACGACTCCGCCAGTATTGGGGCTTGTAGTTGATGCATTGATGGGAGAAGCAGTGGAGGTGACTGTAGAATTTCCGGCTGAACCGGGTGCTGTAGTTGGACTTGTTGGAGTTGACGTGGAATTCGAGTTGCCGGCACTTCCGGCTGGGGTAGTTGTTCCTGAAAAAGTTTGTGATTAGGGTATGAGTCTTCTAGCAGAGATTCTTTGAGGAATTGGAGGGGATGGAGGGGGCAGGCTAGCAGAGATTCTTTGAGGAGTGGGAGGGGATGGTGGGAGGTATGAATATGGGAAATCCTTTGTCGAAATTTTCACTTTAAAGACCCCGTCAAGCCAAATCCATACCCGTAATTTCGATGCCAGGATGTGTTGTGGCAGCTGAACTGCTCGAAGACGCCGTCGTTGTGGTACTTTCACCTCCAGAATTTGACACTGTAGCTGTCGTCGTCGTACCAGTCAAACCTCCAGAAACACTTGCGGAAGTCGTGCTCGTATCTCGTGAATTAGCTGTCGTAATCGGTTAGAAGTCACGGCAATGATTACCTGTCGTAACCGGTTCAGAAGTGGACGTCTCCAGCGTGTCGCCATCGTCTGTAGGCCCTTCTGAAGTGTCGCTAACCGCTACCGTAGTCCCTTCGGCGCCGTCATTAGTAGGATTCGTACTGTTCATCGGAATCCTCGGAATTGAGGTCGTAGTTGTGGTGGTAGGGGAAGAGCCGGAAGCTGCGGACGGGTTCGTAGTGGTTGTAGTCGTCGTACTTGTCGAACTTGTCGTCTGGTTGCCATTTACGGTGACATTCAGCGGAATGACGTTGGCGGTCGTCGTGGAACCTGTGAATTTTCACCTATTTTCATGTACTTTCTTTTTCACTTTACTTACACCAAATTGCTTATTTTTACGGTTTTCACTATTTAAGACAACAGAATTTTTTTGGATACATTGGTGATTTAACCAATTTTTCTATTTGTGCAACGTTTACCTGAAGCTGCACTTCCGTCTGCAGTAGTGGTAGTAGTTGTGCTACTTGTTGATGTGGTAGAAGAGCCGTTTCCGCTCGCCATTTGGGTGGTTTCTAAATTCAGCATAAAATTGGTGGCCCTAGAAAAGATTTTCTGTATGACGGACTACAAACTACAAACTACAAAAATCCAAGAAATGTCGAAAATCGGGATGTTTTACCGGGTGTCGGGCTGTCAAGAGAAATCGGGGTGTTCGTATTGTAGACTACAAACTTCAAGCAACAAGTAACCGTAAAAATCGGATTTTCTATATGGCAGACTACAAACTACAAACCGCAAAATCTGGAAAACAGGAAAAATTCGGATTTGCGAGTATCGATCCTTGGTTTAGACCAACCATGGCAAAACGGCCGCCGCGGCCGGCCGGAAGCCGCATGCAAATTTTTTTCACGGCCGAAGCCGGCCGCAAGCCGCAAATATTACCCCACGGCCGCAGCCGGGCCGGGCCGTAAAAACGACCAAGCCGGCCGCGGCTGGCCGCGGCCTTTGCAATAGACTAGGTGTTTCCATTTTCCTTATGAGAAATCATGCAAATTAGTAAAATGCAACTCGAGATCCTAAAAAAAGGTAATTATTTTGGGCAGGGTAACGGCCGCGGCCGACCGCGGCCGGCCAGACTATCCTTGGAGACGGCCGCGGTGGCCGGGATTTATGCTAATTTCATATGCGGCCGGCCGAAGGCAGCTACGGCCGGGCCGGCCGGGCCGGGCCGCGGCCACTTGCCATGTCTGGTTTAGACAACTACCTGCCGTTCCAAATGACGCGTCATTTGGAGCGCTATCTAACTGTCTAGACCTAGTCGTTGTAGGCGTTGATTTTTTGCCTAGCTAATTTCATTAAACCATCGATTCGATCAGTCAAAAAATGGGCTTTTCTCTAACCTTCCGGACTCTCCGTCGTCCCCGCGCCATCCCCGGAAATTGGGATTTTTATCTCGTCGTTGTCGTTGGTTGTAGTCGTAGTGATGCTGGATACAGTAGTGGTGGTTATGGTAGAAGTAGTAGTAGTAGTAGTCGTTGTTGTTGTTGTTGTTGTACTCGTTGAAGACGTCATTGTTCCGTTTCCACGTGTGGTCTCTACCGTAGCTACACCCGGATCAGTGGTAGTCGATTCTAAAATCTTTGAATGAATTCTAATTGACCACATGATCCAGTTGACCTTTATTTTTCGGTATTTCGTAGAATGCCGTCAAATGAAATAGGCTACATAAGCTAGGCCGATTCCGGAACACTAATAACCAAAATGTTCTTTATTTATGGCTTTTGGGTGTCTGCATTTAAACGAAGGCCTTTTTGGGTAGCGGAATTCTAACTTGTCGACATTTTATATTCGGCCTTTTAATCTCAGTTTTTAGAATCTGTACCTCCATCAGTAGCCCCGCCATTCGTGCTCAATTCTGGCGCACCGGCTTCAGATACCGGAATTGTATCCTCATCGGTCGTAGCTAGAATCCAGTGTTAGAGCGAGAGGGAGAGCGAGAGAGCGAGAGACAGGGAAGAGTGAGAGCAGGGGGAAGCGAATCGGATTGAGAGTGGAATCTGTCTAAAATGACCTTCCGCACTTCTCGGAGACTTTGTACCTGGCGGCGATTCCGTTGTCGCGTCTAAATCTTCCAGTTAAAAGGATCGGGAAGCGCCTTGTCGACCCTTTCCGTCGACTAGGCCTAGACATCTACACGCTCCAAATGACGTTTTGCCATATGACTGTGACTGCCCGGTGTCAGTCGAATGGCCGCATAGCTGTCTAGACCTAGTCGATGAAGGGGTCGATTGCTACGCTTACTGGTTCCCGTTGGGTTTCTAAGAAAATTCATACCTTGCTCATCATCGGTAGTGACACCCTCGTCGGTGGTTTCTAGAAAAGTAGGGGGTTTGAGTTAAACGTTAGTAACATTTTTGCAACCCGGTTCAGTGGTGCTCGAACCATAGTCATAGTCGCCGCTGTAGTCCTCATAATTATAGTCACCATTGTAGTTGTCAGAATTAGAGCTTGTTGTCGATCCATCTGGAAGTTGAGATCATGTTTTATCCAAAAATCTCTGCTAGCCTGCCTTTGTTTCACATTGAATTCCAAAAGGATCTCTGCTAGCTTGCCCTGAGCCATGGTTTTGCCTAAACTTCCAAACGAATCTCTGCTAAGCTTTCCCGCCCCGATTGTTACCTCCAAACTTCCCAAAGAATCTCTGCTAGCCTGCCCTATTATCTTGACTAGCGCTTCCCAAAGGATCACTGTTAGGCTCCCGTAGTAAATGATCAAAAAGGAGATCCTCAAGACCACATACTAGCTCGCTTTCGCACGTGCTTGTACCATACTTTATCTCCTAAAGAATCACTGCTAGCTTGTCATGAGACGTTTGGTCTCCAGAATCTCTGATCTCATCTCATCAGAATCTCAGAATCTAGACCGTCGTTTACCCGTTATTTCTCAAAATGACCTCTGCTAGTTTGTCTCTGATTTTTGTTTCCGAAAGAAACGCTGCTAGATACCCCTCAAAAACGTAATTTTACCTGTCTCCGATGCTTCATCCGTCGACACTTCATCCGGTCCCACGGTTACGGTATTTCCATCAGAATCCGTAACCTTATTTTCGGTCTGCCCACTCGTCGTTGTTGTGTTACTTGTCGTGGTCGTACTCGTTGATGTCGTGGTCGTAGATGGTGAATCCGAACTGGCAGTCGTGGTGGTGGATGACGTTTCCGGCGAAGTATCTAAGCTTCAGATTTTTGACCCGTCAAGTGACAAATTGTGTATGGCAGAAAACTTACCATTTCTCTGCCCAGCCCCAGAATCTGTAGATTTCGTCGTGGTGGTCGAATCAGAATCAGAATCCTGAGCGGTCGTAGACTCTTCGTCATCTCCATAGTCACCGTTAGGGTCAGCGGGTGGTCCGTAGTCTGAATGCAGGGGTATTTGAAGAACCTCCAATTCCTCAAAGAATCTCTGCTAGCCTGCCCCATCCCTCCAATTTCTCAAAGAATCTCTGCTAGCCTGCCCCCTCCATCCCCTCCAATTCCTCAAAGAATCTCTGCTAGCCTGCCCCTCCATCCCTTCCAATTTCTCAAAGAATCTCTGCTAGCCTGCCCCCGTCCATCCCCTCCGATCCTCAAAGAATCTCTGCCTAGCCTGCGGCCACTAATTCCTCAAAAAATGCCTGCTATCTCACCATATTCCGTAGGTTCCGGTTTCAGAGGCCTCCGTCGCAGCGGTATCACTGTCAGCCTTCTCTACCGTCGTCGCATCAGACTCTGAGGTGACGCCACCAGAAGCGCCGTCTTGCGCATTTCCGGAGGTTTCTGAAGCTGTGAGGCTCCAGTCGTCTGTGAAGCTGCAGGAGATGACGTTGAAGTGGCTATCGTGTCTTCTTTAGGAAATGATTCGGGGCCAGAATTGGATCTTGTAGTGGTAGACGTGGCTGTAGTTGTTGTCATACTCGTGGTTGTCGTTTCTGCTTCTTGGTCTGGTCGACTAGTTTCCAATTTGGCGGTTGTCGTCATCGTCGTTGTTGCCGTCGTGGTAGTATCAGCCCCGTCGTGGTAGTAGCGATCGTGGTCGGGTGGTGTTGGTTGTCTTATTCTTTGTCAACTCCTAGAAAAACGACTTTGAACGTTTTTAGCGTACAGGATAAGGATTTGAAGTGTTTAAAGGGGCCGTGTTCCTTTTGCCCTCCTCTCTTTTTGAGCGTTTTTATGATGATTAGGCTAGTATTTTGTCTTTACAATCTTAAAAATATATGAGCGTTGCCCTCGAAATCAATTTTAGAAGAGTAGACCATTTTGGCGGTGATTGTTTTCGGATTTGCTCTTCCATTCTTTATTTTTTTTCTTTTTGGTCTAGCGTGACTACCCGTGAAACCTTACTCCAAAAGAGTAGTGAGCAATTGCTTAGGTCCAGGGGCCATCCGTTCTAAAAGGCTGAGCTTGAGGGGGATTATGAAGTGCCGGTCGACCACCTCCACTCGGCTGGTCTCGACAGCTACGACGATTCAAATGACACTCGTAAACTCCAAAACCGTTTTTTCTTTTGACAATCGCTAGTGACTTACGAAACTTGGCATAAATTCAATTGCGCTGGTCTTGGCATTTGGAGTCTATCGTCTGTCCGGACCCAGTAGATTAGAACTGTCGATTTTCGCACTTTCAAGTTTCTTTAAAAGCCGGAGAGGTATTTTACCGGGGTTTTCAGGTGGTAGGTACGTTTCCGCTTCCGGAAGGTTGTGCGGCTAAAAAGTCATAATATCTGTTGTGTTTGGGCGTAAAGCGTACTTGGCGCTTTCTTCTGTCGTCGGATTCATTGCGTCCTGGGCATCCGTCGAACGGCAGGTTCGGCTCTCGATAAGTTTGTTTTTCTTAACAGCTTGAAGGCTCGAAAGCTGCAAAAAAGAGCACAAACCTTTCTGGCGCGTCGTAGTTTCGGTGGAGGTTTTCTAGAATCTGTTGTCGCGGACGGCGGTGTGGTGGTTGTAGTGGTGCTATTCTCCGGGATCCCAGGAATTATAGTAGAAATCAGAAATCTAGGATCCTAGATGAAAAAAATAGGGTGAAAAAATTTTATTGAAAAATACTAATTATTAGGGAAGGCAATATTTTGGTACTTTCATCATTTTGAATATTTTAAAGTACTGGTACCACTTCGAAAATTTTCCCGGTCCTCCTGCGAGCGCCTACTTCGGGTACTGGCCTGTCATCACGGGGAGCTAAGGTTTTCCCTTTGCGCCTATTATCAATAAATAGCGCATTTTTAGAAAGCGCTTTTGGCATTTGTAATTCGCAGTAAGTTACTAAACAATGTATTAAGCCCACCGTTAGAATTTTCCATTTTTTCATATTATTCTATTTTCATACCTACCGCTGGCCCCCGCCCCCGCCCGCCATTTGAATTTTGAATTTGAATGCCCAAAATTTAGCTGAATTCCCGGTCAGTCCGGGCGGACAGACAGACATTAGAAATTTATATGTAGTAGATAGTAGATTTTCATATTTTCATTTCAGTTTTCATACATTTTTTCGACCAAAACGCCACAAATTGGTATAATTTTAACGGTCTTTTACTCTACAAACTGTTTAAATCCTAAACCCTGGTTGTTTTTTCGCGATAGGGCCGTATAGGATTACTGGCAAAAATAGTTTTCCCCTGCCACCACCTCCCCCGCTAACAGTCCAGTACCCGTACTTCTATTGTGCTGCTCCGAGTCGTTGTCGTCTCGTTTCCGGCGGGGGCTGTGGTCGAGCATGTAGGCAAATATGGGGCGATATCACAGGTGAAAATTGACCTGAATAAGCATACACAAAGACTGAAAGAAAATTCTTACCCGAAACTCCCAACTTACATAGAGCCATATCAATATGGGCAGAGCCCGCATTTCCAGATGGGGCCCGAATCGGGGTTTTCAGCTCTCTGCCGGCGGCTTTTATCCGATCCGGGAATTTCCGGGGTCACTGGCAACCCGCTAGAGCAACCATATAACGACCCCAAAAGCGAGATATCAAAAAAAAATCCGGCGCTTTTCCAGGACCCTCAGAGTTTCGAAAACAGACGAAAAATGCTGAAGCCTTTTTTATAATCCAGGTAAAATCTTTTTCCCGATTTTTTACAATTCACAATTTAGACTCGCCTTCAAAATGCCTTTTATTTTCCTATAGCTATTAGCTAGCAAGAAAAGCCGAGTTTTTATGCCATTTCTAGTAGTTTCGGATTACAAGAAAGTCATAAAAATCATGGAATCATGGAATTTTCGAAAAGTTTGACTTTTTGGTTATCTATTGCGGTTTTGAAGTAAAACTCAGAATTTTACAAATTGCCGAGTCACCTCACTTCCAGCTTTTATACCCAAAAACCAAGCAAAATGATAGGGAAATTGCCAGCTTTAAAAATTATTCTTATGACAGTTTTGCCATTAAAGAGCAATGAAAGTAAAGGGAATCTCTGTCCGCGGTATCTTATCGAGATACAAAGGTACATTTATTGTTAATCTTGAAATTCGATTAACAGATTAACGAGTTTATAGGGGTGAAAATTCATGTTTAAAATAATACAATAAATACAAATTTAAAATAAATTCAATTTTGATTCGATATTCACCACCACCTCGAGCTGTTTACGGTCGAGCCGTCGGGGCCAGTTGATAGCACGTCCGTATTGGGGCCAGTAGCCGGGTAAGGTCGATTCTAAAGGGGCTGGTAAGCTTGGAAGCGGGGCGTCAACAGTGGTTTTTTCGGAAAGTGACATGTTAGAGATTTTTTTGTGGATTTCCAGGTATAAATAAAGGTGTTAAGAAGGCAAAAATCCGAGTTTTAAAAATGGGCAAAAGTCTAATTAAAATACATACCCTTTTCAAGCCTTCTAAAAGTCTAAACTTGAAGGATTTCCGGTTTATATACAGTGATAGAATAAAAGCTATATCATCATAAATTATTAAAATTAAAAACGGCTGTGAAAATAAAATTTGTAATTTTCAGCGTTATTTGAAACCAAGCTAAGAAACTACGGTATTAATATTGTACAAGCCATGAGGAGATTTTTAAATAAAGCCGATTGTCGATTATTTAAGTATTTTAAAGTCACCATGCAGTTCAGATTCGACCCTTCTTTCCCTCGACTGGAGTCTCGACAGTCGCTACGCTGCGCTTCAAGTGACGTGTGGAGGTATTCTGGCAGCGATATCCACGCGTTTATAAGGCTTATAAAAGGACAGGAAAGGATGTATCAGGCTGTCGGGACGTGGGACGTAGAAGAGTGGGATTTTGGAAGCAATGTTGCGGTTACTAGACAGCGCCAGGCTATTTTGGCCTTCACTGTTCCGTGTGGGGGCAACGCTATCAGGTTGGCGATACGCCACCCTGCCAGCAATACGTAACGAAAATCGATCGTGCTTCGTTCGGTTACGTGACCTTATCTGCCCGTCGACACTCAGCACACTGCTCAAGCGCGTATTGCTCAACGCCAGCGGCTCATGGCCAGTTGCACACTGAGGGCGCCCGTTGGTTGAAAAAGGTATCTCGGATGCGCTCGGCCAGTTTCAACTGGTTCAGCACCTCTGGCTGAACCAGGAAGCCCCAGGCTTTCGGAGTACAGCGCATCAATGTTGTCCTTGATAAAGGCATTCAGGTACTGCTCGTGAAACTGTTGCAGCCGGCCCTGCGGGCCAAAGAACGCTTCGAAATCTTCCAGTGACGCATCGTCCGGGCTACCCGCCTTGAAGGGGTAACGATTGGCTAGTCGCTCACGGTAAAAGCCATGCACCTCGGCGTCCCAGCGCTTCTCCAGTTCGCGTAGCGCCTCGATCACCAAGGCCTGGGAAGTTTGATCCGCGAGCTTTTTTGACGTGTTGATTGAGCGGCTCCGGCAAGCCCATCGCGATGCGTTGCAGGTTGCCAACAGGATCCGGCCCGCCCAGTGAAAAACGCTTGAGGACGGTTGTCAGCGCAGCCTTGCCGCGATCCGGGTGGTCTTCCACCGCTTTCGCATAGTCGTAGACAGCGCTGACTGCCCGCAGGGTCTCTTCGTAGTAGGAAGGCTGATCACCTTTACCGGTGAGCAATTCGGACAAGCCGACAAATGCACGCCGAATCCCCGCAGCCTGTTGCTGCCCTGCCCGAGCGCCTTGCAGTTGTTCGGCTTCAACCGGTGCACTGGCCTCCACCAGTGGCTCGGACGGGTAAATCACCGTGTTGTCCTGCAGCGTTTCCAGCAGGCGCCGCAGAGGCGCCGCGGGGCCGGTCACTTGTTCGAGTACGGCGACACCGTGGGTCAGGTCGCGAAAGTCGGTGACCGAAAACTGATTCAGCGCCCGACGCCAGCTGTCTACGTAGTCAGCACCATACAGCGCCCGTATGCGCCCTGTGAGCACCTTCCGGTCCTCTTCGGAATAGTCCAGACCCTGCCGCTCGCCCAGCACCCACTGATCGATCATCGCCAGTTCAGTGACGTCCTTGGCGCGGGGCTCGAAATACTCCTTGAAGCCTTTTTGCGGTCAGCAGCGCAGACAGGGTCAAGCCGCTGCTTTCGTTCGCGTGTTTGTCGCTGGAAACCACCGGCCGGTAGATCACATCAAACGCCGGCCCGACCTCAGTGCGCAGGTCCAGTGGCACGGGCAGCCGCTCCTGGGCCTCCAGTTTCATGCTCATGTACACCCGCTCAGCCAATGGCAACTGCCGCAGCGATTGCTGCACTTGGCCGATACGCTCGCGGTACTGCGGCAGGTCGGCGTCAGCGTATTTGAGCCCATAGGAGAGGTGGCGCATCAGGTCGGTTTGCAATTGACCCTGGCCTGGATAAACCCGTTGCCATTGCTTGGCCGCCCACTCCTCCACCATTGCAGGCCGCCGGTTCTGGCGTTCTTCAATCATGCGATAGACGCGCAAGGCCGCCAGTTGCTGATTGCTGCCAGGGGCGCAGCGTTGATTGCCTCAGGGCGCCGCTGGCGATGGCGGGCAGGAATCGTTTGGACAGCAGGTTCAGATAGGCCCTGTCCACGGTCGGCCCAATCGCCGGGCCCTGGTACAGGCCCATGTCAGATAACAACGGCCAGGCTTCCCGATAATCGCCGTACACCAACACCGCATCGCGAATCTGATCCATCGGCGCCAACAGGTTTCGCCCGGTGGCATCGACGTGGGTGTCGATATTGCGATGACTGAATTCCCGGCTCTTGGCCAACACGTTGGCGGCTTTATCGCGGTTGATATCGAAGTAATGCTGCCAGCCACCGATAACCGATAAACAACCCAGCCCAGCCACGCAGGCACCAGTGATCAGCAGGCGGCGCTTGCTGCGGGCAACCCTGACGTTGTCACCGGCAAGCCCGGCTTCGGGGTAGATGACCCGCTGGAACAGTTGCTGCGTGAAATAGACCTGACTCGCTGCCGGCTTGGCCAACGTTGCAACCGCATTGAGCAACAGGCCCTTCTGAACCGCTGAAGTGAAGTAAACACCGCGTACCAACGCCGAAAGGGTGTGCCGGTCATTACCCAACGCGGCCAGCAAAAACACGTTCAGCGTGTTGCGGATACCCGATAACTGGCGAATCAAGGCCAGCAAACGCGGACGCTCCTGCTCTCGGTACGGCACGCTTGATGCGTCCATGATCTGCTCGGTAAACCGCACGATGAACTGTTCATACTGGCGCTGGAACTCATCCGCCCAGGCGTTGCGCTTGTCGATCGAACCCAGGGAAAAAGTGAACCCCAACACCTCCCGGCGCACCGACACCGGCAAGCGGCTGAAAAACTCATCAAACCCTTCCAGCAGATCAACCTTGCTGAACACCACATACAGCGGCAAACGAGCCCCCAACTGCCGCCCCAACTCATCCAGCCTGGCCCGGACCGCCTGCGCCTCCTGGTGGTTTTCCTGTGCTGTCTGGGACAGCAACCGACGCAGATCAACCATCCATACAATCCCATTGAGCGGGCGGCGGCTGCGATTGCCGTCCAGCCAGCGCAAAAAATGCTCCCAGAGACGTGCATGAATCCCTGTGTGGGATTCCTCTTCTCCTTGCGCCAGGGGCTGGCTGACGAACTCACCCGGCGTGTCAATCAGCAGTGCTTCATGGCCCAGCCACCATTGCACTTTCTCGCCATCGGCGAGATCGCCTTCGCCTGGCTGAGAACTGAGATTAAGCAGCGATTCCTCCTGCTGGAGCGAGCCGATCAGGCTGCTTTTGCCGGACTTCCTGTGACCCAGGACCAAGTACCAGGGCAGCTCATAGATATCGCCATGCCCCAGTTTTTGGCGAAGCGCCGCCAGGCTTTGATCCAGCGCCAACTGCTGAAGCTCGACCTCCTTCAAGTCGGGATCCGACTCCCGTGCGGCCGTTTGCTGCTGCTCAAGCCGCCACTGGCGTTGGCGCCTGAAAACCAGCAGCGTCCAGACCAGCAGCGGAACAAACAACACCAGGACACTGGCCGACAGCCGCATGGACACGTCGGCCAACGGCGTATGCGCGCCCCATACCCAGCGCGGGCCAAGCCACCAGATGCCCGTCAGCGCAATGACCACACCCAGTGCGACCAACGTCGGCAAGCCAAGATTGACGCGACGCTGGCCTGCCGATACCAGTGCGCTTACGACCTTCCAAAGATTCATCATGGGATTACCTATGCGTCGTCGTGTCCGTCAGGCCATCTTGGGCAGGAAATCGGTATCCAGGCTGTAGTGCTTGGGCCGTTGTGGATCGAGCCACACCTGAAGCTCTTTCATCGTCACGTAGGGCGAAGGGTCGAACCACAGATTCTGGTTGTAGAACAACTGGACCTTCCCGGTTTCCGGGTTCAGCCACTGGGCGACGATGCGCCACGGGTTGCTCCCGTTCAGCGTGACAGAGGCGTTTGGTTCCACGGCCATCACCTGGGCCTGGACAGAGCGGCCGGTGCGTTTCAGTTGGGATAGCCGCTGCTCGGCACGCTTGGGGCCCAGGGTAATGGTCCACACCAACGCACCGCCGACCATCAGGAATACCAGGCCGATACCGCCAAACAGCAAGGTCAGGAACCAGTTTTGTACAAAGCTATCGAGGATGGCGTTGGCGGGTTCCTGAGGGGGAGTAAAGGACCGGAACCTGATCACCGACCGCATACGGCGAAGGGCGCGAGCAAACACCTGGGCGTACGGGCAAAGCCTCGCCTTGGGCCGTCCTGAACAGGGCGACGACACAACCATCCCTGACGCTGACTACCGTGCCGGTGGTTGCACTCATGGTTGATTGTTCGGAGACGCGATTTACCTGGATTGCAGCGGCACTGATGATCATCAGCGCGCCAATGATTACAAAAATCCATAGCCATGATTTTTTCATGAGAACTCCTTGGTGTTGTATTTTTGTGCTTTTTTATATGCACTGTTTGTGGTTGGTTATTTGGTTAAGGGGGTGCTTTGTTGGATGGAACAGCGGTAGCTGTTTTGGGCGTAGTACTCGCCAATATCCGGCTTGCTACTATGACGCCACATGGTCATGGCAAGTTGCGGTGACGATAGTGAGTCGCTGCCGCGTTGAACTTTCTGAGTGCCGGTTTCCGGCCCTTTGGGGTTATCAACTGGGGAGTCCTGATAGTAATCGGCGGCGTACCAGTCGTTGACCCAAGAAATTGCATTTTCAGCCATTTCGTAAAGGCCGAGTGGATTTGGAGGGAAGGAACCCACGGGGTAAATCGACTTGCCATCGTAAGCGTTTTTCCTCGTATGACGCTACCGCTGTCAGTGGAATAAACGACGTAGCGCCCGCCAGAACGGGCAGCGTATTCATACTGAGCTTCGGTGGGCAGGTCCACCGATAGACCACTAAGTTCTCCCAGCCATAGGCAGTAGTTTTTAGCCTCTTGCCAAACCCTGCTACGGGCAGGGTAGTTCGAGTTGAATAGTTCCGGGTTCCGTACCCTGTAAGGGTGAGTCTGTTTGTTTTTCTTGTCTTCATCGGTTAAGTCAAAGTTGTAAAACGGCAATTCGTTAAACGCCCGATACTGATCATCCTCCGCAATGGTGGTGTGGTATTTGGACATGTAAAAACTATCCAAACGTACCGTATGCAAAGGTCGGGAGTCCGCCTCGGGTATAAGAAACCAAAGCTCATCCCGAGATAAACCACAGGGCCATTCGCACATGTTGGCGGGATCGTATTCTCCGGCCCAACCAAAGTCGCCCATTTCGAAAGTACCACCCGCAACAAACACCATATTGTCGATAGCTGTGACCACTTGTTGGACCAAGGCATGACGTTGCGAAGCTGGTTGCTTCGGGTAACGTTGGTCAATGCGTTCGGCAATAGCCTTGACCTGCTCAGCACTTAGCGACTTGCTTGGAATAGGCTGATGTTGATTGCAACCGCTCAGGACTAAAGCAAGCCAAGCCACTCCGAGAAATGAGAATCCTGTGCGCACTTTCATTTCAACGGCTCACTCTGCTGGATGGCGCAGCGGTAACTGTTTTGAGCCAAGTACTCCCCAATATCAGGCCTTTTTCTATGGCGCCACATCGTCATTGCAAGCTGTGGCGTCCAAAGCGAAGTACTTCCACGTTGAACTTTTTCCGTGCCTATTTCTGGCCCCTGCGGATTTTCAACCGGGGAGTTCTGGTAATAATCGGCGCCATACCAATCATTAACCCAGGACACTGCGTTATCGCCCATTTCGTAAAGACCAAGTGGATTCGCTGGAAAATAGCCAACGGGGTAAATTGATTTACCATCATGGACATTTTTCCCACGAATGATGCTTCCGCTATCGGTGGAATAAACAACGTAGCGCCCGCCAGAACGCGCAGCATATTCATACTGAGCCTCGGTGGGCAGGTCGACTGGAAGCCCACTTACCTCTCCCAACCATAGGCAATAATTTTTGGCTTCTTGCCAGAATCTGCTGCGCGCCGGAAAGTCGGGCAAAAACAGATCAGGTAGAAGCACACGGTACGGCTGAGTAAGGTTGTCGGCACGGTCTTCATCTGTCAGCTGCATTCGGTACTGAGGCAGCCCAGTAAAATGACGGAATAGATCGTCTTCCTTGATGGTGGTGTGATATTTGGACATGTAAAAACTATCCAAACGTACCGTATGCAAAGGTCGGGAGTCCGCCTCGGGTATAAGAAACCAAAGCTCATCCCGAGATAAACCACAGGGCCATTCGCACATGTTAGCGGGGTCGTATTCACCGACCCAACCAAAGTCACCCATTTCGAACGTACCACCCTCAACGAACACCATGTTGTCGACAGCTGTGACCACTTGTTGGACCAAGGCATGACGTTGTGACGCTGGTTGTTTCGGGTAACGTTGGTCAATGCGTTCGGCAATGGCCTTGACCTGCTCATCACTTAGCGACTTGCTTGGAATAGCCTGATGTTGATTGCAACTACTCAGAACTAAAGCAAGCAAAGCCACTCCGAGAAATGAGAATCCTATGCGCGCTGTCATTTCAACGGCCCACTTTGCTGTATCGCGCAGCGATAGCTGCTTTGTGCTAAGTACTCACCGCGATCAGGCTTGTCGTGAAGACGCCACATCGTCATTGCAAGCTGTGGAGTAGATACAGAGTCGCTACCGCGTCGAACTTTCTCCGACCCCGTCGCTGGTCCTTGCGGGTTATCCACCGGAGAGTTTTGGTAGTAATCCAATGAATACCAGTCATTGACCCAGGACACGGCGTTTGCGCCCATGTCATATAGGCCAAGGGGGTTCGGAGGATATGCCCCGACTTGGTGTACATCAGTGCTACTACTGATATTGCGACCTTCGTTAATGCTCCCGTTGTCGGTGGCATAGACCAAATAACGCCCTCCGGAACGAGCAGCGTATTCATATTGAGCCTCGGTGGGCAGATCGATTGGAAACCCACTGATGTCTCCCATCCACAAGCAATAGTCCTTGGCTTCTTGCCAGAACCTGCTACGGGCTGGAAGGTCTGGCAGGAACAGCTCAGGTAGAAGTACACGGTACGGCTGAGTAAGGTTGTCGGCACGGTCTTCATCTGTCAGCTGCATGCGGTACTGAGGCAGCCCAGTAAAATGACGGAATAGATCGTCTTCCTTGATGGTGGTGTGATATTTGGACATGTAAAAACTATCCAAACGTACCGTATGCAAAGGTCGGGAATCAGCCTCAGGGATGAGAAACCAAAGCTCATCCCGGGACAAACCACACGGCCACTCACACATATTCGCAGGATCGTATTCACCGACCCAACCGAAGTCACCCATTTCAAAAGTGCCGCCCTCAACGAACACCATGTTGTCGATGGCAGTTACTACTTGCTGCAGCAAGGCATGACGTTGCGAAGCTGGTTGTTTCGGGTAGCGTTGGTCGATGCGATCGGCAATAGCGTTGACCTGCTTATCACTAAGCGAATGGCTCGATATCACGCTGTTCTGATTGCAACCAACCAGCATCACGATGAAAACGGCCAAAAATGGAAATTGGAACATTTTCAGGCCTTTCAAATCAGACATAACGCTCTCCTTCCCGAGCCCAAACCTCTTTAGCCGCGAGCAGCGTTTCGAACTTGTCATTCGCATGCATCGGCTCCCACGGCCGCCATTTCGGGAGTGGCTGACCGGGCACGGCTTCGCCAGCACGATCCGCCAAGTGTTTGATGAAGTTGGAAAATTCTTTGGCCTGCTGCCGATCAAGGTAACTGCGGATGCGCTTGACACTGTCAACTGCCGATACCACCTCTGCATCAGGGTGCATACGCTCCAAGACCAGGTAGAACTGTCGCCAACTGCTCACCTGCTTCAGCAAGTGGACGATGGCCTTCTCTGTGTCGTTCTCGAATGCGGCTAGATAAAATTCGCTAAGCATGTATAGGGCCGGCCCCAAAACCTCTGGAGGCAGCCGAGACAATGGAATAGTTTGAGTACCAATCTGAAGAGGCTCACCATTCAAAATTCGTTGGGCCAAGTGCGCCGAAGAGGCAATGTTCTTTTTCCGTCGCTTCCACCAATCCCTTAACAGGTCCGGCCCCTGCCCCATTACCTCATTCAACGTCTTCCCCGGCTCACTCAGCAGCCGAGAAACTCCCTGATAAAACATCTGAAACGCTCGTTGGTTAATACTCACCAAATACCGATAATCCACCTCACTCAACACCCGATAAACCACCCCCACCAACTCCGCGATCTTCTCGAAATCCACCAGCGTGCCAAACCCTCCCCCGCACCCCGGGCCAAACACCAACTCGCCCTTGCAGTGGAAGTACAACTTGCTCCCCGTCAGCGTGATGCTGAAGTCCCCCGTCACCCCCGCTCCAAACGCCACATTCCCTTCCGCTTTAACTTCCAGCAGCGCAGCCCAGGCAGCGTTATTACGGTTCTGAGTGTCCGGTGACATCCATTCCAACCCGCCCGTTAATGCGCCTCCCGCCTATGCCCCGGCGAACAGGCTGCCCTTGGCCTGCACCGCGCCACCGCGGGCCTCAAGGTCGGGGCTTAGTAACAGCGCACTCGCACCGGACGGTGCGGCTTTCCATTTCGCGCCAGCCGTAGCCGAACCCGCAGCCACGACTCCGACAAAACAACTCAACTCCAACGCTCCCCGCAGCCGAAACGCGCCAAACCGGTGGTACACCGTCTGGCCGTCAGCATTGCGGTAGGTGAAATAACAATCCCGCCCACCCTGACTGGGCAGGAATGCGGAGAAGCTGATTTTGCCCTCCGCCAACGAAAACGCGGCCTGCCCCTTGATGCCCACCGAAACCGCTCCGGCCTTGGGATCAAACCCGGAAAAACCGGCGCTGGCCTGGGCGGCAAAACGCAGCAGATGGGCTTCGGCAGAGACGGCATACGGCGCCTGGTCGCTGCTGTCGGAACTCCACTGATGTTCCTGGTGCAAGGTATTGATGGCGCTGTCCTGGGGAAACTGCCAGGTCTTGAGCTGGCCCTCCAGGTTGCCCAGTGGCTTGGCCAGGTCTTCTTTGACCTGCCGCCCGACTTCCTTCTTGATCTGTTGCACCAGTTCCTTGGCCCGGGCCTTCAGCCCGGCGGCATCCAGGGGCGTGCGGGTGGGCTGGCGCCCCACCTGAACCCGCAGTGACCGCCGCAGCCCGTCAGCATCGGATTGCGAGATGTAATAGCGCCGATCCGGGCGGCTGAGTACGATCACTTCCACCACGCGATTGCCACTGCTGGCGCGGGCGATACCGACACCGGCAATACGGCGTGCACCCAACGAGGTGCTGGGCACTGTGCCGGTGGCAATCATTCCGGCGCTTTTCTCGGCCTCCGCCAGCAACGCCTTCAAACGCTCGATTTCTGCATCCAGCGCCTTGCCCACCCGCTCGCCGATCACACAGGTATCTGCATCGCTGAACCAGCCGCACAGCTCGGCGAATTGCTGGCGTTGTTGCTTGAGGTGAGCGAGCCGGCCCTGGACGTCTTCGTCGGTGGTCAGGCGGATGACTTCGGCGCGTTCTTTCGCCTGGTTCAGGCTGAGCAAACCGGCCTCTTCGGCCTTGCGGGCCCATCGGTATTTTTGGCACGACTGGCAGCCGCACGTTTCTTGCGTGGCGCCACGCTGGCCGGCCACACAGGGTTGTGGTTGCTCGGGAGCGCCCTGGACGATTTTCTGGAAGTCCTTCATCAGGGTTTCAACCTTGTTGATGGACTTCATCAAGCTGCGCTGCTCGGCTTCGGAGAGGACGTAAAACGTGCTGTCGTCGCCGGTGATGTGCACGGCATCAACGCGCTGAACCTGGCAAGCCGGCGTACACACCGGGTTACTGTCTTCAAGGCTGTCGGCGTACATGGGCGGCGCAAGGGAGTTGGCCTGCGGGGTGGTCATGGTGTCGTTCCTTTGAAATAGCGTGATTCCAGTGCGAGAAGTTTTGCGCCGTAAGACAGTTCGTCGGACAAGAGCAATGCATTGCCCGAGGGCTCAGCCCAAAACTCGCCACCACCCTGAAGATGCAGGCGCAGCCAGCGCTCTTGATCCTGCGTGCAGGTAACGCCAAACGCTCGTGCCGCGGCCAGGACGTTGAATACGCTCACCACGGCGACATCAGCATCCGCGTTCAAATGACGAGCGTAGTTTTGGCTCAAGGCCATGGCCCGATCCCACAGGCGCTCAACAGTCAGCCGTTCCAGGCAGGCGTCATCCAACTGAAAAACCTCTTCAGGGTGTTGTGAACGCAGGGCTCCAGCATCGGCCGACCATTGATACCAAGCGTGCCCCGCGTGCCAGATCACCGACGAAAACGGGCTCAGCAACGCCTCGCGATGTGCGGCGCCCAGGCCTGTCAGCAGGGCCCGCAATCCATGGGGGTCGAACCAGCGCAAGACCGAAGGGCAACCATGGGCGTCCTTGATCCATAGATGCTTTCGGCAGTGCTCGACCACGGTTGCCCAGGGGACCTCGGCCCTGGGTTGCACAACAATGCCCAGGCGCTCTTTGGGCAGGCGCTCCACAATCGCCCCAAGGGCTGCACTGTCGCAAAGCAAGGCGACCAAATGGGGGCCAACGCCTGCCAGGTGCGGTAGATGAGTGCTCCTGAATAACGACTCCACCGCCCAGCCGGGGGCCTGCTGATCGGCATAGAGCGAAGCGGCCAGCAACGGGTCTTGAGCCAGTTCCAGAAACAGGCACTGACCCGAGGCGGCGAGGCCTGGCGGGGCATTCTCATACCTTTCCAACCCGGGTAAACGTTCAGTGACTTGGGTGAATTTCACAATTTCCATCGGCATCGCGCTCACAAGAATTGGTAGTCGCAGCGGCTGACTGCTTCGCCGCTTCCAGGTAGTCCTCAAGGGAAAGTGCTGCCATGGCGGCCACGCCCAATACCTTTATCGGGCCGGGGGACGCCCCCACATCAATTTCCACACTGGAATGAATGCCACCGGGGTCCAGCCGCAAGCAGTGCCCACCCGCCTGCAAGGTCAGGCTCGCCCCGGCTGCCAGGACGATTTCGTCACCCGCTTGCAGGTGAATCTGGCGGCCCGCGCCCAGCCCGAGGTTTGCGCCCACTTTCAACGTGCTGTCACCGCCGACATTCAGCTTGTCGTCAGCGTCTACAGTGGTGGTGCGCGGGCCTTTGACGGCATGCTGTTGCTCGCCATCGATCTGCGAATGGCTGTTGCCGCGCACGATCCGTTGGTAGTCCTTGCCAATGGTGACGTGTTCGTCAGCCTCGACTTTTCGCGTTCGGTCGTTGCCGACGAACAGGCCCTGGTCATGGTTGACGTGGGTGTTGTGGTCTTTCTGGGCGTGGACGAAGACTTCTTCCTTCCCGCGTTCATCCTCGAATCGCAGCTCGTTGAAGCCCTTGCCTTTGTGGGTCTGGCTTTTGAGGGTCATGCGGGTTTTATGCCTGGGCAGCTCGTAGGGCGGCAGGTTGTCGGCGCGGTAGGCACGCCCGGTGGCAATCGGCTGGTCAACATCGCCGTCCAGGTAACTGATGATCAGCTCCTGGCCGATACGCGGAATGGCCATCGCGCCCCACATCGTCCCGGCCCAGCCTTGGGCGACACGCACCCAGCAGGAACTGTGCTCGTTGGCCTGGCTGTAACGGTCCCACGGGAAGCTGACTTTGACCCGGCCCCACTCATCGCAATAGATCTCCTCCCCGGGCGGGCCGACCACCGTGGCGATTTGCGGGCCGTCGATACGGGGCTTGGGTTGCAGCGGCGCTTTCCAGTCAACCTGCCAATGAACGGCCGTGGCCTTGAGGTGATAGGAGGTACCCGCCTCGCCGCCAGAAGCTTCCTCCTGCTGGCTGCTGTGTTGTTTGCCGGTGTGCTGGATGGCCACGGTGCGCCAACGGGAATTGAGGTCTTCCCGTGGATGCTCATTCAGGTCGAAGGCCAAACCGGGTTGCAGACGAGCATCATCGCCCTCGATGTGGGCGCTGCGTGCGTCGCTGCGCAGGGCCGACAGGCGGGTTTTGGTAAAGGGTTTTCCAGCGGCATCGCGCTTGTAGCGACCGGGGTAGTCGTAACGTTCGTAGTCGTCCCGCTGGTTGTCCAACTGCCGCCCGGCGACCGCGTGCTGCAGGTTGTAACGTGGATGGGTAAAGGTGTAGTCCCCTTGCACCTGACGGGCTGTGCGAACCTGCTCGGTGTAGTGGAAACGATGCAACGCGGGTTCCGGTGAGTCGCCACCACCCGCAGGCTGATAGAGCACCCCGCAGGCTGCATGCGTACCGATGGTGCCGAGCCCGTCGATCTGGTCGGTGAGCACCAGTGTGTGGCCGTCGCTGCGGTGTTCGAAGGTATAGAGAATGCCCTCTTCGGCGGCTAGCCGATGGATGAAATCCAGGTCGGTTTCTCCAGCCTGCACACAATATTCACGTGGCCGATGATCAAGCTGGAGGTTGCTTTCAACGTCGCTGATGCCCTGGGCCTTGATGACGTCGGCAAGGATCTCGGGCACGCTTTGCTGCTGGAAGATTCGCCAGTTCGAACGGAGCCCGGCGCGGGCCAGGATGGGTTCCACTTCGGCGTAGTTTAGTTTTTGTGGGCTTAGGCTTAGCTTAGGCTTAGCTTAGGCTTAGGCTTAGGCTTAGCTTAGGCTTAGCTTAGGCTTAGCTTAGGCTTAGCCTAGGCTTAGCTTAGGCTTATTTTAGGCTTAGCTAGGGCTAGCTTAGGCTTAGTTTAGGGCTTAGGCTTACGCTTAGCTTAGGCTTAGCTTAGGCTTAGCCTAGGCTTAGCTTAGGCTTAGGCTCAACTTAGGCTTAGCTTAAGTTATCCGATACGTACCTTAAAGATATATTCCGAGAATGTCATCGCCTGGACGGCTAGAGTGGCCGGATACGTGATGACACACCCAACGCACATAAAGGCGAAGGCAAAGGATACCTAGAAAATTCCCCATATATTCAAAAACACTGCCGCGAGACGCCAAGTGCCGCTTGGAACACGTCGTGCGCTGCGGGTCGCACGAGACTCATTAGTCGTACTTTCCAAACTCCTTCAAAATCGTTTCAACCGGATTTTTCTCTGGTTTAAAG